CACACTGCAGAGAGCACCTGAGAAGCTCACTCAGAGGCAGCTTGGGAGAATGTTCAGCATGCATGTGCTCTTTCTTCCAGGTTACCACTGAGAGTGGTGTGCCCAGTGGTCCCTCTCAAAAGTCACTGACAACAGGTTCAACATGAGCCAGCTCACACAAGGATAATGCTTTCTGGCCAATGGATGAGCCGAAAGAATGTGTGAAATGAGAGGAGGACAATTCTGGCAATGCAAAAAGGGTCTTTGCCTCATCTGTAAACAGCTCCCTAGCCCCACTGAAGGAAGGGCTTTGGGTTGGAGGCAACCTGGAGCCCCAGAATTTCCAACCCCTCAAAAACTATCCTTGCTATTTGGTGAGTCAGCCATTGATTTTCGGCTGCCCCTGATCTGATCTCTACAGAACATGTAAATTTAGGACTGCCTTCCCTTTAAAAGATAATGCTGTCAGCGCCGCAGAAATATATAATGTAGAAACGCCTTCAGCTTTATGCCGTTCGTACTTGGTACAGCTTTCCAGTGTTTGCTCTTTTCTTAAAGAGAGAAGGTCCAGGAGGGAAGCAACAGGCATCAGTGCTCTGCAGAACAGTTACTCAGTGCCTGGATATGTGATATCTCCTGACATCACACCAGTACTTCCTGTCTCTTTCTGGGCTCCATTTCAGCATTTGCTGCTATCGTTGCAGATAAAATAAACCATTTGCTCTTTCATCTGGGGACCACATTGCACCAATTTCCAGTCTGCTAAAATGGTTCAAGATGCCTTCGTCTCAGCTGTCCCAAAGGCAAACACTCCTTTCTAAGCCTGTGAAAAACCTGGTGCGCTGCCACCCCCACCCCAATGGAGTATTGTTGTGTTCTCTGTTGTTGCTGTTTGGGATGCCATCTAAGTTCTGTCATGAGCATTAATACACCAAGCCAATAGTGCATCTTATTTGGGAGTCTGTTGTTGTAATCCCACATTCCATTTAAAGTTATAAAGAATACCAGCACCTTTATAGCACACATGCATACATTAAAAACTTACTGGAGGAATGGAAAATGTACCAAATTTTAATGTCAAAAACGGACAACTCGCAGCTGTGACTGGATAAGACTTCAAAGTGATTTTACTCAGCCTCTAGTGACCCTATCAAAGACCTTTTCAAAAACAGATTCCCATCATTTATACATTTTTATGCAATATGTACATAGGGATATTTTTGTGTATTGAGCACATGTGCTGTTTAATGGGTAAGCTTTGCTGCTGGCTAGTGCCAAACTTATTATGAAACTAACCTTTTCCAGCCTGGAGAACAGAGTGGCTGTCAGAATACAAAAATGGACCATCTTCATTTTAGAAGAAAATGGTAATATACCTGTTCACATACGCTGAGTTTTTTAGAAACGGGCCCAGATTGGGGGTGGGGGTGGGTGGGGGAAAGAAGCAGGCATGTGTCCCAAGAAGCAGATATGGGTGACTGTGGAAAGACCTGTCCGCTTAGCTGTAAGAGGATGGGTGGGTAAGGTATAAAGGGAGGAGAGTTTAGTCAGGAGTTGGAGAAGGGTAGTTGGCAAAAGTGTGGTGGGTACATGAGGCTGACGAGTGGAGAGATCAGGGGCAGCAGCCATTAGTGTATATACATCTCAAGATGCTATTCCCTGATCATGTTCTCTTTATCTACTTTCTTCGAATTATATTATAAAAGATGAAGATCTAGAAAGCTAAGATGCTTTGCAAATCCTCTGGAACTTCTTTACTGATTTTTGTTTCCGTTTCTGACATTTTGTCCCCGATATCTTTGGGGGTTTTGTCATCTTGTTTGTGCTACTTAAAGCAGACTGTTCCTTAAAGAGCTCTCTAGGGATTAAAAGGATCACACCCCCCCCGAACAAGCAAATTTATAGCACTGCTTTTGCTATAAAAAGACTCAAGTTCAGTAGAACTCCACATCTTCAAATACTGCTATTTTAGTGTTCACTGTTTTTGAAATCTGCTAAAAACCTTTTTGTCTAGGCAAGACATATAATTGTATTACGTACCTGTTTTTAAAATTCATTGGTTGTCTCTAATTGCAATATACCTATGCAGTTTAAGAAATTTAACTGCATTGGTTCAAAAATTAGTTCAAAAATATACTACACCTGATAATTGCCTGGTGAACTGAACAAGTTTGTTTGGGGGTAAAACTTTGACAAACTTCATAAAATTATTGGCCTAAAGCCTGGATAAATGAGAAAAGGCTTTACAAGTTTCCTGAGTGCAGGTAAAGAGGAGAACATCCTGATTTCCCCTGAGAGAGAGTTCCATAGCCACACTACCACCACTGAGAACGTCCTATCTTAGGTCCCCATTCTTCATCCCACAGCTATGGAGAAGAATATGTGTAGTAGGGCTTCTACCTCAAACTGCTAATTTCTGACCAGTACCTTCTTTCAAGTACCTGGCTAGCAAGTTATTTAGGGCTTTGTGAACTGGGCTTGCTAGCTCACAGGCAGCCAGTGCAAAGTTGAAAAATATATACAGTGGTACCCTTCAGGTTACATACGCTTCAGGTTACAGACTCCGCTAACCCAGAAATAGTACCTCGGGTAAAGAACTTTGTTTCAGGATGAGAACAGAAATTGTGTTCCAGTGGCGCGGCGGCAGCAGGAGGCCCCATTAGCTAAAGTGGTGCTTCAGATTAAGAACAGTTTCAGGTTAAGAATGGACCTCCAGAATGAATTAACTACTTAACCCGACATACCACTGTACATCAAGGAAAATGTATGCTGGAGAACTGAAGAGCTAGAGAATGCAGCCTTCAATAAGGTTAAAACAACCAACAACAACCAAGAAGATCCATAAAATGGAATTGTGTTGCAGGTAGCATTTGATGGGATGGGGCATGTCGTTCTCCATAAATGATGTCAAGTACTGTCATGAGATGACTGTGACGCTTGCCCAACCACATTACATAAAGTACTCGAAGCTGCAGTGGCCCCTCAGCATTTCCCCAGAACAATATATTGTGAGTCAAGTGCTCAGAGAATGCAATACCCACCAAACGGCCATGCTTCTTCAAAGGAAAACATGCAACAATTGAGCAATGACACTCCTTTTAAAAAAGGACCAACTCAAGAAGCTCTTTGACAGTTTTTAAAAGCAAGCAGCTCAGCTGATTAGCATCTCAAATGCACAGTGCAGTGACTAGAATGTCAGGAAGAAAGTCCTAAGAAACTTTTGAAACTGCTCATAAATTTTCCCAAACCATAAAATTTGCCTGCTTTCCTTATGAAAAACCAACAAGGGTGTGGCATGGCAAGAACTGTTTGCAAATTCTAGTTGCAAATCCAGAGTTCAACACAAGTATCTCAGGTATGGATGACATTGATGCTTTCCGTCATCCATCACCATATAAAGAGTCTTCAGAAGAGCTTGCTCGCTATATTGTGACATTTTGGTTGGTCTTAATTCCCAAGTATTGCCTGACTATGAGTTTTGGAATTTCACAGGATTATTTCATACATTATGCATATCTGAGTCAGCCATTGAGCCAGCCAAACCTGGGCTGTACCGGTAAAGAATGTACTTGTATGATATGTGTGTGTTTGTTTGTTGCATTCACAGGACCCTAGGTAGATACTAATGCCAGTGTACTGGAAGAAGCAAAGATCACCAGTGTCAAAGCAATGATTCTTCAACATCAACTTTGTTGGACTGGTCATGTTGTGTGGATGCCTGATTAACGTCTTCCAAAGCAACTACTGTACTCTATTCAGAACTTAAAAATGGAAAGCATAATGCTGGTGGTCAACAAAAGAGGTTTAAAGACTCTCTCAATGCAAGTCTTAAAAAATGTAGTATAATCACTGACAACTGGGGAACACTGGCCTGCAAGTGCTCCAACTGGAGAACAGTCTTCACCAAAGGTGTCATGGGTTTTGAAGACGCTCGAACTCGGGACGAAAGGGAGAAATGAGCCAAGAGGAAGGCACACTTGGCAAACCTCAGCATGATCAGATCCTACCCGGAAACCTATGTCCCCGCTGTGGAAGGACACGTGGATTCAGAACTGACCTCCACAGTCACTCAGGACTCACTGTTAAAACTGTGTTCATGGAAGACGATCTTACTCGGCTACGAGTGATCGCCAAAGAAGAAGAAAGTGAGCAAAATTCACAGTGGTGTGTGCATATTGATAAATCTTGCATATTCTTCAGGTAGGGGAAGAATGCACATCCTCAACATCCAGCAATGAATGTGCTTCCTTTCTCTTCCAGGCAAGGCTGGCCCACCCATGAGGCAACATGAGGCGACTGCCTCAGGTGGCACAGTATCTACAGGGGCAGCAGATCCTGATGTTGTAGATCTTTATTCCCCTCCCTTGTTCCTGGTGTATCTCTTCAGTCACCCCTTCTTCCCATGGTTTGGTCCACCTCAGATGCAGAATTGTCTTGGTTCCAGGCCTCCATCAGAAAAGAGAACGGCACAGTATGCTAATTTGCAGAGGGGCCTGAAGAAGGATGGCTAAGCGGCCTCCTCTTGGCCCGCTATCAATCGGAAGCAAACGATGCTGAGGCACATGAGTCCCACTCGGGCCTGTGAACCATTCCACAAGCTCTATTGTTCGGCAGAAAAAGCAAAAAGGAAAGCCTTTCAAAGGAGCTTGTAAACAGCGGCTCCGCCCAGCAAACAAAGCCGCCCTGTAGCAAAACGTTATCTCGGCGATAAGGAGTTGGGCAAAGCCCGCCGTGGTCGCCCCCGTCAGAAACCCCCACCCCGCACGGCCCTTCCCGGGGAAGGCTAGGTGCCAGCGAGCGCGGGGTGTGGGGTAAGGGGGCCAGGGGAGGCCTGGCGCTCGCAGGGATTTTAAGACGTGGAGGCAATTTTAAGGCACAGGCCTCTCTCTTCCTTAATAAAAACATGAGTCAGCGGCTGGCGTGGGCAGCGGATTTTCTAAACATCCCCTCATATCCTGAGAAAGGGGAGAGCAGAGAGAGGAGGGAAAAGACGGGAGGGGCGGAGAGGGGAGAGAGAGGCCAGAATCGAAAGGAGGCGCGTTCACACGCACACACAAACAGCAGCGTGTGAGGGAAGTTTCACGGTTTAATTCGTAAAAAGTCCAGTCATGAATTAAAACGCGCACGCTTTTGGTTCCTCTTGTTTTTATTTTGTTTGGCGCCTGGAGCTTTCCCAGAGGCTCCCCTCGCCTTCTCCCGCCCAAATTCGGCGACTGAAGTTCTGCTGGTGTCTGTCTCCTCGTACCCCACCTTGGAGCCGACGGAGGTGTTTGTTGTGTCTACCCCACTGAAGCTTCTTTGCGTCTTCCCTCTGTCTTTCCCAACAAGAAAGAAGAAGTAAATCGATTCAGCCTTATTCCCCTGCCCTACATCTTTCTTTGCGAGAGTGGACCAAAAAGTTTGAGCCAAGTAGAAGTTCGAACACGCGCGCACACCATTCGTGGCATCTTTTTCTGAAGGAAAATAGAAAAAAGGCTCCGGAGCTGCGAGAAAGCCGCGGAGCCTTGGATGCTGGCGAATGCTTTGGGGGGTAATAAAATGCGCTAGAGGCACCAGCAAGGCAGCCGGCGCGCTGGACAGCGGGGACACCCCACCCCCACCATCGCCCAGTCCCGCCTCTCCGGGCTGCAGACGATTCTCCCTCCCCTCAGGCTCTGCAAAGGGCTGCGCAGCTCAGCCGAAGGAAGCTGGGGTCGCGTACTCAAAGCAACGGGGGGAACTTCAGGAGAAGGATAAAAGAGAGAGGTGAAAGTCCCCGCAAGTTCTGGGCGCGATTTGGCGAAAGCCGTCCTGCCCCCTCTGCGAAGTAAGGTAAGCGCTAAGCGGTCTCTCTCCTTCGCTCCCAGCAGCTCGCCTCCTTTTCGCTTTTCCAGTCTGCGAATGGAAACTCTCCTTTAACAAATCCAGATGTGGAGAGCCCGCAGCCTTGTTCCTTTTCCCCATGACAAGTTTCCAAAAGGCCAAACCCAGCCAGTTTCCTTTGCAGACTCCTGGAGCCTTCGCCTGCATCTTTCGCTTTCTTTCTCCGCTGCTTTCCCAAGGCGCCGGGCAGAGGGGATGCGGTGCGGGACCTCCCCACCGCCCCCTTTGCTGCTTCAGGGGGGCTGCCTCTTGCAAGAGGGCCGGAAAGGAGCTGAACCCCTCAGCCCAGCCGTCACAAGGAAGACGGTTCCGGGGATTGAAATGGGGCTGTCTCCTTGCCTAGCCTCCTCCTCCCCACCCCAAACTCCTGGGATGCCCCTCTATGGACGAACTGTTCTCAGCATCCTGCAGGCTCCAGAGTAGAGCCGGGTGGGGAGGAGGAAAGCCTGTTGCTTCTTGCAAGGTCTGGTAAGGAGAGGCAGCAGTGCTCCTGCATCTCCCTCGCTGTGCTGTGTGTTGCCCATCTATCTATCTCTGCAAAGGATCTAAGTTAGTTCTAAGCTATGGGATGCACAAAGTGCTATTATTGGCTCTGTCTTTTTTTTTCTTTTTTCTTTAATCAGCAGAAAGAGAATGCCTGTGATCCTGATGCCTGAAAATAACTTTCTGATGCTCAAAACTTCTTGGAGCTTAGATTCCTGGGGTGGATGATGGATTGATTGGACAGAGAAGGAGAATCTTTCCCCATGACTGCCACTCTAACATCCGCAAGGAACATCTGTCTTGCATCAGAACAGGCTGTTTGTCTGTTGAAAGATTAGATTCTAACCCGTGTCTGGGGTTAGAACTGTTTATCATTGAAGAGTTGCAGAGGGGTCGCAGCTCACCATTGGCAGGAACTCCCCAAACCTGTAGGTGGGAGGGTCAGCAGATGTCAGTTGGACTAGTAGTGCACAATCAAAACGTGGTTAAGTGCTGATTTGGACACTTTGTTTACTAGCTGGAAAGATAACAAACAAATTTCTTACACACCCTTTCACACAAGAGCAAAAGCACCAAGCACTTTAAAAGATCTTAAGCAAAGTAGAAAGGAGGGACTCTCCTGCGCTTGATGTTACCTGCATTGGCGGAGAGTTTGCCTGGATGTTATATGCGCTTCCAATGCTGCACCAAATGTTACTATTACCTTTATGCTAAAAGCTGGCAAAGCCATTGGTCAATAACATTCCCCTCCCCAAATAACAATAGGTTGTTTCAATCAGTAGAAGAGCTCCTTTGGGAGGAAGGGTGGGAAACAAATTTAATAAATAAATGGATAGGTTTCCTTCACTATATCCTGTTTTTGGTGACTTTTCATAACCACAAGTCTACCTGAAACTGATTGGCACCTCCTTCATAACCACAAAATGTTCTATCACGCTTTGTGTCTGTCTTGTTTTCTGTTCCAGCTAAAATACTTCTAAAAGCCTCTCACTTATGCCAATATGATTTTCTATGCCTACAAAATCTAATAAGCTTATATATATGCATATATGTTGGTGCAAAATGAATAAAGCCCATTCTTGTGCACTCTGGAAGTATCTCGCCATGGTCTCTAGGCAGAAAAGTATTCCATGTTACTTGCTTCTTAAGCTTTCCTTCCTTCCTTCTCTGTTTTCAGAGGAACCATGACCCTATCTATGGTTCCTTCCAGACATCTCCAGTTCTTATACATGGGACTAAAATTCCACTAAATGAACTCACACACTGGTGCTTCTCAAGGTGTAAAACAGATATACTGTGCAGTAAGAGACATCACCTGTTGCTGTCATACCTTGCATCTCTGTGCCAGGAACTAAACTACTTTAAGTTTTAGGGGAGAGGCTGTAGCTCGGTGGTACAGCACACGTTTTAAATGCGGAAGGCGTCAGGATCAGTTCCTGGTATCTTTAGATAGTGCTGGACTCCTGACCCCAAACCCTGCTTTCCAAAGGGCCAGTGAGCGTTGTCGAAACTGAGCTAGATGGACCAATAGCCTGACTTGCTGTATAAGGCAGCTTCCTATGCCCTTTTGCGAGTCCTCCTTCTTATTTATTTCTGCTGCAGCCACTAGAAAAATGCCATATACTTCTTATATTATTATTACGCAAAAGAAGGTTTGGACTAGAGTTCTAATAATTCGCAATTGCGCATCTCTACAACCCAACACTCATGTAGATACTGTAGACAACTTGCTTCTGCTTAGCATGATCATTTTTACTGTTTTCACAGTCAACAATCCAAAAGCTATGTTTTTACTGAGCACCGGTAAATTGACTGACGATTTGCAACTATTGTTACCACATATGCTTATCACTGTTTGATAAGCGCGTTCATTGTGATCCTTACTGGAAGCAGAGTTTCTGTTGTGACTTTCTTGAGTGCCTACACTGTCATTTCATTATAATGTTACAATCATAGCAATATGGTGAGGGTCTCTACTTAAAAAATAATTTTGGAAGGGACAATAAGGACCATCTAGTCCAACTCCCTGTGATGTAAAGATATGCAGCTGTCTCATGTGGTGATCAAACCTACAACCTTGCTGTTATCAGCACCACACTCTAACCAACTGAGCTATCCACTTGGATTGGGCTATTCCCATCCAGCAGTGCTGTGCCCTTGACAAAATACCATGCAAGTATGCTAATACTACTCATCATGCTAAGGACCCAGCATATGTTTTGCCAACTACCCATATTATATATTTACATGCATAGAGAGGCACGTCTCTGAATACTAGCTACTGGGGATCCTAAATGGGGAGTGCTGGAGGAGATGAAGAGCGCCAGATCTATTCATTGATGAACCTCTCGTCTATCTATTGAGAAACAACAGAGAAGCGGACCTGGAATATTAGTTTCTCAGAGGCCAAGGTTACCCAGAGCTCATTGCTGCTCAGTCGACTGAGCTACGAGAAATGGTTAACCCATTCTCTGACACTACTTGTATACATTTATTTATTCATTTCGAGTATTTAATTTGTCCCTCCTGGAAAAATTCATGTGTATGCCCATGAATGATATGTATGTGGATGCATTTTAAATTGGTCTTCTTGTGTGAAAGGTATGTAGCATGGACAAAAAATGCACAACACATATTTGCATACACAAAACCTTTGCTGTATCAGAACCCAATCAATCTATATACAGATGATCAGCACTATCAACTGACACTGATTATCACAAGTTTTGAGGATGGAGAGAAAAACTGATTGTAGCATCTGTTTCCCATTTTACACTTAAGGACAACCATCACAGACAGTGCTATACATCTGTTCAAAGGGCAGATCTTCATGCATAGCAACATCTCTGGATGATGACCTGAGTGATCAAAGTACTGAAACAGCCTCTGGTATTAATGTTTCAGCATGTTTATCACTCTCTTCAGAAATGGCATCTTTCATTTGTTTTTAAAAAAGGTTTCTTTTAAAAATAATAATTCAAAACTGCTTGCCACATTTCAAATGAAAAACTGCCCACCACTATATGCTGTTGTATGATAGTATCAGCACATTCAGAACCATTTTGTTCTTGCATCATTAATTCATTAGTTCGTAAAACGTGTATCCTACTTTTTTCTGACTATATCACAACCAAGAAATAATAGTGCCATCTGTGACAATGGCTGTCAATCACAATAATAATACCAGCAATGACAGCACAATGCAGTGAAAATTGGAATAGATATTCACACTTAATGGCTTTTTTAAAAAAATAAAAGGGTGTTTCACCCCACTCTTCCAGCACATGAGTTATTCCAGATTAATTAGCGCAAAATTTTAGGATGTGGATTTGTGTGTGGTGTGGAGCTGTTTATTAGTATTCACACAATGCTTTTCTTCTATATGTGAACCATCTTGACCCAAACACCCAAGCTGTAATAGGAAAACTCATGATAATAGATATGGCCAGAAACATTACCTGTGGCAATACAGTTTTCTGCCATGCTGACTGCAGGATGTGCCACAGTTGTTGAGTGATAGGACAGTTTACACATTACTTTTCTCCATGCAAATGTGTTTTCTTCACAACAAGAAGACGAATTTTTATTTCCAAGAGTTGTTTCCCAAATGAATAGATTGTACACTGTAGTCCCATTGACTTCTTCCATTTCCTTTGACTCTGGTCTAAAAGGACATGTGGTTCCCACTAACTGCCCCCCCTTCACAAAACATCCAGGGCGAGCTGTGACTCTGTGACCTGGGAATTGCGGTTTGTGTCCTTTAGTCCTGTTACAGTTTCTCAGAATGTTCTCATTGATTTCAATGGAAGAAGGCTTTGTTATAACTTTGGAATTATTTTGGGTTAGCTTATTCCAACTCAAAAAAGTGAGGCAGAGGTTGGAGTTAAAATGCTGCTGGGAGTTTAATTCCATTTAAAGAGAGAGAAATTCCAAACAGAATATTTTTGATAGGAACATCATGAGCTGTGCATTGTTTCCTGAAATGCTGAAACAGCTCTAGAGAACCTTTTTGAACTGATGGATAAACAGGGCATAATTAAGTACATGCCTTATATAGTCTCCAAATATATATATCAGTGTAGCAATTGTTGCAATTGATAGACTTATCTTAGTAGAACTCATAAAGCATAGGCCTGTTCTCTTATTCTCCTCTTCCTCACATTGCTAACTTCTCTGCTGACACTATGCAATCCAAAGAGCCATTTCTAAAAGTCTACCACCACCCAGACATCTGGTATAGTGCAAGCAGCTGGTAGCTAGAAAAGAACATTGCAAAAGCTCTTCTTCATAATTTGAAATGCTTATGGGTGGGCATGGGGACTTGAATCCCACCCATTGTTTACACATGTCTGTTCAAGATGCAGTAGTGCTGAAAGGTGTTCAGGGGTCTCTATTAGTAATGCTCCTGGGATATAAAGCTCCATTCCAACGTCAATCTTCTAATCAGGCCTTGATTTGTGTCCCTACTCCATGTGAGCTACTGTCACAACTAGAAGTAAAGCCTCTGTATCAGTTGCTTGAAGACAATGGGAAAAAAACCTCTGTCCAGAAGTGTGTGGTGCCTTCTCACTGGCCTTTTGGGGTGGGAGGGTGGGGTTGCAATACATATCATTTTCATGGACATATATTCTTGTTGTCTGTTCATTTTTTTAATTGGGCACTATTTTATGCTTGTTTTTTGGGGGGAGGGGTGGAAGCCACCTTGGAAACACAGCATTCAAATGTTTGGAATGAATAAACAACCATATTTCTTTCAAATATGTTTTATTTTTATTTGTTGTAAACTGCTTAGAGGTTTTTTTTATTACAATCAAGCAGTGTTTCAATTTTGTGAAATGAAATGAAAATGAAACAACTAGCTATATAGATAGATTGCTCTCACTGTGGCCCCACGACCTGTTTGAAAAAAAAATAGAGAGCAAGGGAAACAATAGTTTCATTACAAACAAAGGAAGAACCTTTTCAAGAACTGATCTTTTCATTAGAGGGAAAAAAAGCAGAATAGATAGCAAACATCACCCTCACAATGCAGTTATCTTCTACTCTCCTCAAATTTCCTGGACTAGGATAAGAGATCAGGATGACTCAAAAAAGTTTTCTGTCAGCATTGTTTACATCATTTGCTCCAATAAAGAACTGTCCTACTTGCTCAGTATTTGTAGTGAAAGTTTGCATTCATAAAAATCTAATAATAAAATGCCACAGATGCTGCCTAGTCATAGGATCAGTGCTCTAGCAAACCATCCAAAGAAAAATGGCAAATTCATAATACTATTCTATATATATATATAGCATAATACTATGCTATATATAATACTGTGCTATTTCAAAATAGCACAGGGCCATAATTCTCAAATACATTTTATTATCTGTATCTCACACTGTGATGTTAACAAGCAGGTTTTCAATTTAATAATAATAATAATAATAATAATAATATTAATAATGATAATACCCCACCCATGTGGCTGGGTTGCCCCACCGTTCTAATTCATCCTCAAGAGCCACACACGCACACACACTTATTTATAATATTGTTTTAAAGTTATATTTATTTGCACTTGAAAGCTAAAGTAAAAGTTGTGCATTTCACAAAACATGTTTAGTTTGCACAATTTGGCCAAATACAGATTTTTATGGACGGCCTTTTTTATTCTTTCCAAGAACGCATAATATTTTTGCAAGGTCTGAGATGGTAAAGGAGAAAAGCAAACTGAAACATCCATTGGACTGGGAAATAGTAGTGATAAAGGAACAATGAATGAAGGAATGTGTGCTGTTTTCCCATATTTGAATATTATTATACTTGAGGAACATGTATGGAGGATGATCTTTCAAGTAATGGGACAATAAGACCACAAGATTTCATAGGGCAGCATCCAAGTAATTTGTCTCATCAATGCAAGGATTTCTCCTTGTGCAAAGAAACCCTTCCCTTTGTGTGCCCCACACACAATGCAGATCTTCTCTGAGCAGTACAGCTTCCCCCCTGCACTCCACTTCATCCCCATGTATGCTGCTTACTTTGCCCCTGGCATCAGTGCCAACTTCACCTTCCATCCTGGTGCCACCTCCCTTGTTGGATCAATGTCTTAGCTTGCTTAGCCATGTATGGCACCTGCTGCAAAAGAGAAGACCTGAGTTTGAGGCTATCACCCAGGGGAAACCAGGGCATTTCTGTTCCTAGGAGAAAAACAATTCTGGAAGATAATCCTAGAAGTTCCCAGTGGGATGGAATGGGTACTAATTGCTGATTTTTTTCAATACCTCACCATAACCTGGCTTCCATGCTTGGATAAGCCTTTCTTGCATCTGCTTGTTTAGCAGAAAACTATGGCCGGCAATATAGACTGCAAGCTCAACAGGGCTAGTCATTGGTACAGGGCCACTTTTCTGAGCACTACCTTCTTTTTCTTGGTGTTTGCAGTATTTTAAGGAGCTGTGACTAAATTCTTAATGCTACCGAGAAACAGTAATTGGCACCAATTAAATTGCTACATTCATGTTTGAATTGCTTTAACTGGCGAGACACACTGTCTTATTTATACTGAAAGTATGTTTGCTTTGTGGTTTGCTCTGAATCAGGGCCAGGAGAAACTAAACCATCTTGAGCCTCTTTCTCTGAAGGCATATTCTCCCTTTGCAAGCTGGATGCCACCTCAGTTCCAGAGTACTGATTTATTCATTTATTTTTGCCTCCAACAAGCTGTAAAATAGAATACCTGCTTGTCTGAGGCTTGTGCATTCTCTCTCTCTCTCTCTGTGTGTGTGTGTGTGCTGTCCCTTTTTCTTAAAGTACTGCAGATTTCTCCCTTCCAAACTTGGGAATTTTCCAATACATAGTTGCAGCTAGGAGAAGAATTCTTTCAAGATGGGGAAACCAGGGCATTAACTCTTCAGTCCTCAGAGATCCAAAAATCAGATCTTGATTCAAATGCTCAAAGTACATGAGAAGAGCCCTGCTGGATCAGACCAAAGCCCGATCTAGCTCAGTATTCTGTCCCCACAATGGCACACCAGATGCCTATGGGGAACTCCCATGCTGAGTAATAGCTATACGTAGTTGTTGGGATTGTGTACTAGGAGAGTTGTGTCATCAGTATGAGACCCAGTTCTGTTTCACCGTGATATCTGAATCAGGACTGGGCCAGTGTCTGCATGCAGTGCAGGCCTGGATGAGGGCTGAAACTGAAACTGAATTCTGATATGACAGAGGTCCTGCAACCAATGGTTCTACTTTCCAGGGTAAAGGTCAGTTACCTGTTCTGGATGGGGTTGCATTCCCTCTGAAGGAATAGGTATGTATTGTGGAAGCACTATGTTGGGCTGCCCTTCTGCTTGGTCCAGAAGCAGTAGCTAGTGCAAAATGCAGCAACATGGCTTGTGGCCAGGATTGCCTTGTTATGTATCAGCACATAACATCATTGCCGAGGGAACTGCTAAAACGCTATTGGTCCGAGCCTAAGATTGGTCTGAGCTTAAGATTTTATTGTTTGTGTACATAAAGCCCTAAAGAACTTTGGGCCAAGATAGCTGAGGTACCACGATATACCTGCCTGTTCAGTGCAGTTACATGTGTGGGTCCTTCTTGAAGTGCTGCATGTGGCCAGAGGTACATTCCATGGCAGTTCAGACTAGGGCCTTTAACACAGCAGTACCTGCCCTGTGCAACACACAGCCCATTGCAACTCCAATAATATTGATAACAGTTTGTCAGGTGCTAAAAAGTGCATTATTTTTACAGGCTTCCCCACAGGGATGTTTATTCGCATGAAGTAGCTGGATGCTTTTTAAGAACAGTTTCACCTGTTTCTAGTTGTTCTGTTTTTATTGTTGTATGCTGATGTACTATGATGATGATGCTAAGTGGGCTTATAATTATACCTAATAAACAAACAAGACCACAATTTATGAGTGCAACTTGAGTACAAGAGCACTCGCTCCACTTGCACTCCCCTGTAGCTGGTATTCAGAGACATACTGCTCTCTGACTGTAAGTATATACTAGAGGTAGTTGGTAAAGATGCACTTTTTTAGTGTTGAGAAAGAAAAGGAGACTTGAGATTTGATTGGCTGTAGTTGTGTTCCTGGTAAGCACTGAGAGTTAGGTTTGTTTGTTTGTTTGTTTGCTTGCTTGCTTGCTTGCTTGCTTGTTTACTCCAAGGATGTCAGATTAGGAGGTTAAAAATAAGATATATTGCAGGGCTATGGTGTCTGTGCTACCAGCTGAAGAAGGATGCAAATCACAGTGGTCTAGCTTTTTTCCTTATTATTATTTCCATACTGAGACAGTTAAGAAAAAGACTGTAAGACACTAAAGCACAACACACCAAGCTTCTACTTCCATGCTAGATGACAGAATGACTGTGACCTGATTCAGTAACTATGCCTATTAGCACAGAAAAAAAGAGTATTTCCCCAGTTGAAAGGACGTACTGTCTGATGGACCATTTGCTAATTATTTTGCTAACTTCATGTTTCACACCATTTTCTATTTCTGTCTATTTTCATTCCTTTTTGGCTAGAATTTGCTGGAAGTTGGTGTCATGTTGCCTTCTGCTATTTCACTGTAGGTTTTTCCCATGACACCCCTGGTGCATTTTCTCCCTGGAAGAATAGTATTCATATCAATGCAGAGCATGCCATGAAACAGTGGCAGCCCTGTTTGAATTAGCATCCAAGCATTCACACCTGGGATTTCCTTTCTGTATCAGTTTGAACGATCCCCTCTCTTTCTTTCGTTTGCATTGATTTTAACAATGTTTGGGTGCATTTTAGTAAATCCCAAGCTGCCTTCACAATGGCATCATTACTATAAGGGAATTGTGAGTATGTGTGAAATGCACACTCTTCCTCTCCCCCCCCCCCCCCGTCTCTCTCACACACAACACATGGCTCAGGTCCAAATGAAGGCATGGGAATCTTTCTCCTGGCTTTAAAACAACTAACCAACCAACAAAACCTTAAAAGACAGTGAGTTTAAATGGAAAAATAGCAGGAGGTGGGGCTGATTAACCCTTCCTTGGACGGCTAGTTATCCACTCAAAATCACTACCTAAACTTCCAGGGCCAATCCCTGTTAGGCAGAGTGAAGTGGCTACCTCAGCTGTTAGATGCTGGGGGGGGGGGAGCAGTGGTGAAGCCCCTTCAGCCATCCACCTGAACCCACTGACTGTTGAAGGTCGGAGCCAAGTGTGCTTATGTGGTCTGAGCCCTTCCCCATCTTGTCCATTTCCTCGGGCAGCAAAGTGCTGAACCTGAAAACAGCTTTTATATCTGAACTGGGGTGGGTGGGGAGGCACAGCTAATATCCAGTACAGTGGTACCTCGGGTTACATACGCTTCAGGTTACAGACTCCGCTTACCCAGAAATAGTACCTCGGGTTAAGAACTTTGCTTCAGGATGAGAACAGAAATTGTGCGGCGGCGGCACAGTGGCAGCAGGAGGCCCCATTAGCTAAAGTGGTACCTCAAGTTAAGAACAGTTTCAGGTTAAGAACAGACCTCCAGAACGAATTAAGTTCTTTACCCGAGGTACCACTTTAACTATATCCCATCTGTCTGACTGAAGCATCCTGCAAAACCTAGCAGCAAGTTTGCTGCTTGGCATTGTGCAAAAAAGCTGGAATTTCTGTGTGTGGCTGCGGCTGATGGTATGCCAGGCCTGGAATGAGTATATCTTGGCTTGTTTCCCCCTTTTCCTTCTTGTGGCTTTCGTATCCCTGAGAGATGGAGAGGCTCATGGAACTAACAGAATGTTCTCTGTGTACCAGGCCTCCTCCTGCTGCTACAGAGGGCTGAGCTTTGCTGAGGATGGGGCGACTAACAAGCCAGTCATTTCAGTAGCATTTGCATTTTCTGTGCCACATAAGAAAAGGGGCACTTGTTGAATTGTTTCAGTAAGCAAGGCAGATGAGATGGTCTGTGAGCTGCATGCATGGTGAATAATATCCTTTTCCCCGTGGTGGCCAGTGGGGCGTGTGAAGAGGGTTGTATTGCTCTCCTGCATTCCCAGTACATCACATTGCTGTTGCTTACTGAAAGGAGAAGGGGTGAGGCATAGGGAGCTTGGTGTCCAGACTGGCTTCACCACCATGCTCCATGCTGAGCTCCCTGTGCCTTGCGTCTCCTCTCAGTTAAGTTGCAACAATGCAGCTCTGTTGTGAAGGCAGAGGAGCAAGGCATTCTCACCCACCCCACCCCACAAGGCACTACTACACCTTTCTAGGAGATCAGTACCGAGGAGGACTGATAGAAGAAAGAGACAAGGATCAAGCAAGGTCTCCCAGTCAACTGCAAAAGCCATGGCAGAAACAGTGCTACCTTCCCAGCATCAGTGCCCTGCTTACTAGGTGGGTGCGAGCGTAGATGGCTGCATTGGCTCTACCAGTGCACCCATGCAGCTCCAACTTCCTCCCACCATCTCCAAGTAAGCAGCAGTGATGTCAAAGCCAGAAAGCTAGTGTCACTTGCTTCCACCCTACCAGGCAAGCAGCTTCACACACCCACACCCACACACCCACACACACACCACTCCATCCTTCATACAGGCAAGCAAGAAGCATTATTACACTTCAAGGGCACATTCTAGTTGGGCAAAAGCACTCAATGAGAGTGCAGAGCAGGGCAGGTGATGGGTATGGCCTGAGGAGAGAATGTGGCTGGGGCAGACAGAGAGGCCTGGAGGCCAAATTTATTCCCCAGACCTGAGGTGCCACTCTGACCCTTGATGTAGAAGAGTGGTTTTGCTTATTTATTATAAGTATTTTTATTCCACCCTTCAATCGTATTTGCAGGGAGGCTTACAGAAATACCTTGTTCTTTTGGAATACATAATTTGCATGCTAGTTGGGTTTGCACACCTTAAGTGAAGAGAAGGGGTACATTGTGCAAGGCCCTGTGCATATATGTATTTACTCGAAGATTTACTCTGTAGAAAAATTTGAAGTGGCATGGGGTTTTTTAAAGATTTAATGTGGAAAAGAATGAGTCACCGAAACACCTTCTTTTCAACCAAAAAGGTAGAAGCAGACCTGGAAATTAGGCCAAGCTGACACCTGACCCATTGCTTTTCCACTGAAAAAAAATTCATTGAAAATAATATATCCATGAATGTGTGGATTTGGGACATTGGGATCATGCTTGGTGATTGCTTGTTCAGAGCCGAATGCTTGAATAGGGCCTACGTGTACATGATCAAGTTGCATGATCAAGAATCCTGGAAAAGGCCAACGTCCTGTTCAGTTGCACAGCTGTAGGCTTTGGTCGGACCTGTGGCTGAACTCTCAGAGGTCAGGGGCAAGTCAGGGGCAGCAGGAGTGACTGTGCATCCTCCAGTAAATACATTAGTTCTTGCAGATATGTTGCATGCACAGGGTTCAGGGTTCTCCTAACTGGAAGCTGCGCATACACCAGCTCATCATATTGCTACATTATTGTTAGATATACAGTGGTACCTTGGTTGTTGAATGTAATCCGTTCTGGAAGACCGCTCGACTTCCGAAACGTTCAAAAACTGAGGCGCAATGGGCTGTCAGCAAGTTCAATGGGGAAAATTGAGAGATGCGCCTTGGAAGCTGTTTGACTTCTGAGGTGTGTTCGAAAATGGAAGTGGTTACTTCCGGGTTTTCGGCATTTGGGTTCCAAATCATTCAGCTTCTGAGACGCTAAAAAACTGAGGTTCCACTGTACTTCCTTTTTCATCCATGTTCCGCATTCCCAGGCTTTGTTCTGCATGGAAGACAAAGGGCACCTTAGCCATGCAGGAGGCTTCATGGAACTTGACATCCTGCTTTTCTATTATTCCCATTTATACAGACAGAGTCTATATGCATCTTGTACCCGTGTAGGCTCTGTTTTGCTTTTATCTAATGGTGGGAGATCCAGTCCTGTTCCACCCACTCTCTGCACAGCCCTTCTGAATGCTAATCTGGATTCCTTTTAACCACTTAAAATCCACATCTTAAACTGAATGAAATGGGAACCCTGGTTAGTGTTAGTAATTGTTAGTGCACTGTCCACATAAACGTAATGTTCAACCATGGTTAAGTTCAACAAGGAAAGTGAGCAGGGGAGTTCATATTGGTGAGTGCAAAATAGAAGGTGAGGCATGTTCCTGGTATTGGCTTCATGCCTTCCCCTGGGAAGCAGCATGAAGACATAGGGCTTTTCCAGATGACCTGTTCATTGAACATTCATCCTGATTTGTTTGTTGAAAAATTATGCTGAGGTTATATGACATCACTGTTTATTGAGCATTCATTCTGATTTGTTTGTGTGGAGCTTATATGTTGTTGCCATTATCCCACATTTCCACAGCGCTTTCCTGCCCCTTTTCTTACCACAAAAATGTAGGGTTTCATTGGAAGCAGGTTTGTTTGCAAGAGCGCTAAATCCATTTTAACTGCGCAAACAAAATTTGCTGGGTTTTGATTGACTCATACCTGCAAAATAGTGACAGTCTGGAAACAGCCGCAGCACATAGCCTAACACGGGGTAGGCAACCTAAGGCCCGGGGGCCGGATGCGGCTCAATCGCCTTCTCAATCTGGCCCACGGACAGTCTGCGAATCAGCGTGTTTTTACATGAGTACAATGTGTCTTTTTATTTAAAATGCATTTCTGGGTTATTTGTGGGGCCTGCCTGGTGTTTTTACATGAGTAGAATGTGTGCTTTTATTAAAAATGCATCTCTGGGTTATTTGTGGGGCATAGGAATTCGTTCTTTTTTTTTATTTCCAAAATATAGTCCGGCCCACCACATGGTCTGAGGGACGGTGGACCGGCTCACAGCTGAAAAAGGTTGCTGACTCCTGGCCTAACACAAAGTATCCAGAAGGACTTTGGGCAGCAACTTGAAAGGTTCATGTTACGCAGAAGTTCTCCTATGGTACTCAGTTTAGGTGCACAATTCATGCTGGGAACATACATTAATTTGAGTCTGTATATTCAGGTCAATTAGCGAGACTATAAGATCCCTTTTACTGCCTAGATTTGTTTTCTTCTCAGCACCCTCGTCCTTGTTATTCTTAATGATGAGGATTCAAGAGAGGGTGGTTGTTTCCTGACTTTCAAATTAGCTCCCTTCCTCTTTTCCTCTTCATCTGGCCTATCATTAAAGAACGACTGCAGCTGGTCGATACATGGGAGGATGTCTGAATCTGCTCCTAGTTTAGTTTTTACCACAGTGACAAAGTTGAAGTGATTGTAACTAAGCAGCTGAAGGATGTATCCCTCCCACACACCAGTAGCATATTGGTCTTTCTTCCTTTTTGTTCTTTCCTCATGTACTCCTTAGAAAAACATTTTTCTTTAATTAATAAAAGCTGATGATGGATCACAGTTTCCTAGCAGTTTTGAATTTGTCTGACAACACAAAAACTTCTCTGTCTGTTCATTTAAAGGGAGTCTTCTCCTCACAACCAGATAATTTTTCTATCTAGTTCTCTGGTGTTTTGTTTTTTTAAAGCTTTTTCTCACCCACTTGAATTTAAACCAGTGGTGCAGTATGGTACAGTGGTGCCTCGCAAGACGAAATTAATTCGTTCCACGAGTTTTGTCGTCTTGCGATTCTTTTCGTCTTGCAAAGCACGGTGTCAGGAAAGTTTTGGAAAAGCTTCAAAAATCACCAAAGTCTTTAAAAACCTCAAAAAAGGCTATCACACCGCGTTCTATGAGTTGCTCCTCGAAGTCAAGTTGCAACTGTATTAACGGTGTTAAGAAAAAGGAAACAAACTTGCAAGACGTTTCCGTCTTGCGAAGCAAGCCCATAGGGAAAATCGTCTTGCGAAGCAGCTCAAAAAACAAAAAACCCTTTCGTCTAGCGAGTTTTTTGTCTTGCGAGGCATTCGTCTTGCGAGGTACCGCTGTAATTTTAGATTCTGGTTTAATAGACACTCCACACCCTTAGACTGCTCTTTAGACAGCAATGTGTATTAACTTACCTGATCCAAAGTATATTAAGCCAGCCCATCTGTGCTTGGACACACAGCCATGCCCATTCTGCTGATCTAGGCCCCACCCATAAGTCCTGATCTCATGGCATCATTGACCTAGGTTTCTTGCTCCAGTTCACCAAGCGTGAGCTGGTCCCAGAAACACAAGGGATGTCCTCATCACTCAGGATGGTTCCAAGCTGCTTGCATTTATAGAGAAAGTGACTTTGCGAACCCAGGCAAACCTTATGTCCTAGTTCCTGATGCCAAATATGCAGTGGGTGGGGTGGGGGAGAGACAGTTGCAGTCTGGAGGGCAGACTCTGCAGATGGTGCCATGAGAAAGTGCTCCGTGCCATTAGAAGTGACAACACATCTCAAATGGAGCAGACATGCAAAATCGGCAGAATCAGAGACACAGACCAGCACTGATCTTTAAGGGCCAGTGAATGGGAGCTTAGGAACCAGTTGGAGTAGTTTCATCTATAGAGACTGCAAATCTGGAATTATGGGATAGGAGAAGAGGGTTGTGATAAACTATAGAAGTAATCAAGTGGTTGCATGTAATTGCATCTATATGGACTGTAATAGCAGTGGCTACAAAGTGGTGTGGAGGTATAACTAGTCCTTCCCCACTGTTTTGTTGTTGTTTTTTTGCTCCTAGCGCTATCTTCAGGAAAGCCATTCTGCATCCTCTGTGCCTGCCCCATCTATATACATTAAGATATTTTCCCATGAACAGTTCCAAGATTTCTCGTTATTCAGAAGCAAGCGAATGCACTGTGGGGCTGTTCTTTTAACATGAAGCTGGGGGCAGAGGAAGCATACACAGTGAGCAGGGTGAATAATATCAATGCTCCAAGACTGAGGAATTATTTATAACACTGGCAGCTTGCCAAACAGATGTTCCATTTTATTTTAAACTTAAACAACGCAGGCTCCCATTTCTACTGCCCCCATAGACCCGAATGGGGTCGGGGAGCATACTATGACTTGATCCCGCATCCCCTGGAAAGCTTAGAATAGGGATGCTTTGTGCTCTCCTAAGAAATATGGTGAATAGACTCATAGCAGCACTTTAGTATGGGATCACACATAGCATATCATTCACATGCCTGGCTTTACACTCAGACACACTTCCACATCGACGAGGCTGACCCACACACATATGCACAAAAATGCAGAAAACCCTGCACACACAAACTAATACAGTGGTACCTCAGGTTACATACGCTTCACGTTACATATGCTTCAGGTTACCGACTCTGCTAACCCAGAAATAGTGCTTCAAGTTAAGAACTTTGCTTCAGGATGAGAACAGAAATCGTGCTCCGGTGGCGCGGCAGCAGCAGGAGGCCCCATTAGCTGAAGTGGTGCTTCAGGTTAAGAACAGTTTCAGGTTAAGTACGGACCCTCCGGAACGAATTAAATACTTAACCTGAGGTACCACTGTACTGAACCCTTGTGAACCTCAGAGGCAGTCTGGTTTTGTTATGAGAAAATAACTAAGATCAGAAATGCTGAGTCACACAACTGGGTCACTCACTGCATAACACAGAAAAGCACCCATCATTGTTTCCAATAGTCATTTCCTCTATTGTAACTGTGTTTCTCATTACTAGCCCTCGCCAAGTGTTTTGAAAGGTCAAGCCCTGCACTTAGCAATAAACATTCGGAAACTTGGGCTTGTTTCACATGGCTGTCACTGCATATAATTGCAGACAAATTCATGTGCCCACCTTGGTCTCACTTAAGAGCATGTGGATATAGGCAAACACCCCTTCTTTGACTTACTTTTGCCTGCTGTCAGGAACAGGCCATTGTAGCCAAAGCTCATTGTGAACTGCTATCCTTCACGGCTCTAAATATAGTATGGCTGTCAGTCAAAGCCCCTGAATCCCAGAATGTGGCTTTTCATCAAGGTGGAGCCTTGAGACTCCACGAGGCATGGGGACGGTGTGGTTCTTTTCCCAGAGTGGAGAGCAAGGACTGAGCCAGCCTAATGTGAAATCAGTCTTGGTCACAGATCCCTGTATCAGTAAGGGGCATGGATCTTACTGTTTAAAGAAAGAGCTATCTGTGTCCATCTGGAGTATTCCACTCATTCTGACATGGAAGGAGGGAATGGCAGTAGAGGATAAACCGACACATCAGCGACCTGATCCACAACCCTTTGCTGTTAGCAGCAAGCCTGCTATGGGCGCTCTACCAGAGATTATCCATCAGCAAGCACATTCCAGCACAGTATGAAAGCTGCTCAGCCCTCATGATTCATTACCACATTTAGCCCATGAAACAAAGCTGTTTCTTTTCTTTGTTTCCACTGCTAGTCTTTGTGTACAGGCTGATGCTACTATTTTATATTCTAGGCATCAGTATCCTTGCCTTGGTTTTTAGTTCTCCATTACAATTACCCAAATTAAAGGAGGGTGAGTAGTGTCAGACTAGAGCCAGATTCAGCATGGTGCTGGACAGCAACAGGATCAGCTCCCCCAACACACGTATTATATATGTTTTCATTGGCATTTGAGAAAGCCTGCATTAATAAAGCAGCTCCCTACATCAGCCTTTATGTGCATACTGTTGTACTTCCCCTTTCCACAGGATGACAAATGGAACCTCTTCAACAGGTTCATAATACAGGGCTGGTCCTATACAGTCAGTGAGATAGGAGGTCTTCCTGAAACTGTAACCAGACCTTTCTACAATCCAGCTTGCTGCAATTCAGCGTAATCAGCAGGGGTGGAAACAGCCCTAAATGCCTAGATCCAGGATATATTAGGGACCTCCTTATTCCATGCTATCGAACCTGCTCCCTTCAATCAGAAGGAGAGACTGTCCCTTGTCTTCCACCTAGGGTGGAACCATGTATGACTGGTACAAGAGAGAGGGCCTTCACAGTGGCTGAACCCAGATGATGGAACATCTTGCCCTGAGAAGTATGGTTGGCCGCTTCCTTCTTGTTTTTTGTATGTTCCTAAAGATTGTTTTATTCTTGCAGGTTTTTTTGTTGTATGTGGCAGATAAGGCTTTTATGCTTGATCTTTTATACTGCTGATCCTGTCTCCCTGACTAGCTGTTGTATATTGTTGCTTTTGGGGGGGTGGGGGAATCTATATTTAAATGTAAACTTTCCTGAGTCATGCTTGTGCATCAGAAGGGTGAGACATAAATGTAAACAGTGCTTTTTTCTAAAAAAAATGTACCCCGCCCATCTGGCTAGGTTTCCCCAGCCACTCTGGGTGGTTTCCAACAAAGATTAAAAATACATTAAAATATCACACATTAAAAAGTTCCCTGAACAGGGCTGCCTTCAGATGTCTTCTAAATGTCAGGTAGTTGCTTATCTCTTTGACATCTGATGGGAGGGCATTCCACAGGGTGGGCGCCACTTCCGAGAAGGCCCTCTACCTGGTTCCCTGTAGCTTTGCTTCTCTCAGTGAGGGAACCGCCAGAAGGCCCTCAGTGCTGGACCTCAGCATCCAGGCAGAACGATGGGGGTGGAGATGCTCCTTCAGGTATACTGGGCCGAGGCCGTTTAGGGCTTTAAAGGTCAACACCAACACTTTGAATTGTGCTCGGAAATACTGCCCCTCAATGAGGCCAAACTTAGATTCACAAAATGTTTAGGGGTATGCGTATCCCTGCGTACCCCCAGAAAAAAGCACTGGAAATAAATAACATTGGCTGAGGGAGGGGGGTCTGTTTCCCTTTCCTCTGCTGTTAGCCTCACAATTTTACCAATCGCTTACACTATGGGCCAAGATTCTGACCCAAATTGCAGCATCTTCCTCTCTTTGATTGTACAGGTTAGATAAGGTGGAAGTTTTTATCAGTCTAAGTGGAAGTTATCTAGAAGCTGTATGCTTTTAAAAAAAATCCACACAAAACCTGAAGCTGTTTATTTTGTTTTTAAAAATTGTGTTTTATTGTAATTGGCTTTCTGTTGTGTCTGTTAGTTGCTTTGAGTCATTTCCATGAGTAAAGTGACTAATTAATAATCATAACAACAACAATAATAGAAATAGAAGATCCCTGAGACTTTGTACTTCTGTGCATACATGCACAGAGACCACCAGCCTCCTGAGACCATCAGTCCCAGCTTAGTTTCAGTTTTCAGACATCTGCGTTTTATCATAAATTGTTTATGCACTTTCAAAGGCTCCCTACATGTGTCTGCTCTTCTGGATTTCAATGAGGGGATAGGAAAATGGCTTTCTCGTGATAATCTGGACTATGAGTAAACATGGTGTCATGGGACTCTGAAGACCCCAGAGGACAGATGTTGCAATAATGGATGTTTAAAAAACACACACACACAACAGCCATAAAATGCTTTGATTTATTTAGATTATAGAGTGGGAAAGAAATGGACTTGGAGAGGAGGCCAGGTTGACAGGAAGAAGGAGGGTTAGTGCTTATTGCAAAGGCAGATCCACATGTTAGATGGGGTTTTTTTACAGTTTACCTTGGCTTGTCCCAGGAAGAATAATTTGTTGCCAAAAAGTGTGAAATGCTCAGAACTTTTTAATCAAACCAGAACCTTGCTTGAGACATTGGTACGTGCCAGAATAGTATTAGGGCTCTGACAGTGCTTCCTTGTTACACATGGGCATGTATGATCTCACTTAATGACTCAGATACATTTTTAAAAGCAAAAATAAAATGTATTTTATTTTCTTCTAATTTGTAACAGCTGTGCTCTGCTTGCTTGGCAGAGTCTCGGTCTAGCAAGGCATTGTGGGAAATCCTGAAAGTGCAGGCCAGTTTTAAGCAGCAGTTTCTAAAATAGACATTGTTTCCAGTAGATTAGAAGAAGGCAGGATCCAGGTCCAAATTCATAATTTTTAAATGGAGTTAAATGAAGTTTTAACTTGTAGCTTTTAGTGATATGTTTTCTTTTTTTCTATTGTGCATTAATGTAGTTATGATTTTAACTTATTGCTGTTTTAATGTGATTTGTAAACCACTCTGGAATTTGATAATAAATATTCTAAATAATAAATAAATAAGATGTTGTTTTAGGTCAAATTTATTTATCTTCCTAGCTGAATACCCTGGGCAATTAAAAAAAGAAAAAAGAAAAATGAGAGGGGAAGAGAGAGTGGCTATTCCTAGACTCATTGGTTGTAGAGAGTGCATGTGGATCAAAGTTCTACATTTCCCCCCACCATCTTCCCTTTGCTCTTGGATCCACTTAGCTGGAATAAGGGGTCATCTGAACCTTTGTAATGAGCACATACAAAGAGTTATAGAGTTGGAAACTGGTACTTCTTTTTGGGGGGGGGGTTTAATTTTTTTTGATGACCATTGCTCAAGTTGTGAGATAACTTGTTTGGTTATTTTTCTTTATATGTATTTTCATCTTCCCTTTCAGACAGACTCTCGAGGTGCCTAACAAAATTTTGAAAGAAAAGACATATTGGAACTGCCAAAACATTTACAACTAGTTCAGTCAGTAACCAGTCACAAAACAACAATAAAATCAAATGATATTAAAAGTCAGAGACCATAAAAACATCTTTATCACTCAATTAAATGCATTGAATGTAGCTGCCTGAGAAATTGTCAAGGAGTTCCAGTCCCGCATAAGACCCCCAAAATCTGCTCCACAGGGTCCCCCAAGCCTATACTGTAGAGTAGATTGTGAGGCTGTATTGGTGGCTGCAGTGGGGAGGAGAGGAACCCCATTGCATGAGCAGAAATCTTTGAAATGAAAAGCTGCATAGCTTTGGCGGTATCTTTTGGTGTTTGAGTAGGGATTTCAAAGGCAAAAGCTCAACAATTTTAGGGTCTTCCTAAACAACAACAATTGTGAGTATCCAGCAGTTTCCTCTGCAGATAGCCTTGTTCGTAATGCTAGCTGGTTCTGGTTGGAAGTAATGGTTAGGGGGCCCTGCAGAGCAGATTTTGCAGGCATAGAAGGGGGCCTGCAGGGGATGGGAAGGGGAAGTACTAAATATTACCTTCCTGTTCCATTTGCAGGTGCCTTCTATTAACAAAGTGGCACCCATTGGACTTTACTCTTTTTGTGGTAATACTAACCCAGGAGTAGAAGAAAAGAGGCCACAGGAAAGAATTAAGCACTACATTAGGGTTTGTGTGTGCACATGCGCACATCTGGGTGAAACAGCTGCAGTTGAGAGATTTATCATTCATGTTGATCCTACTAATCCTCAGTCTGCCTTTTGGCTAGCTGAAAGAAGTACAGGATTTGGCTAGCAAAGGATAAACATGGTGGTTGGCATAGTTTCTACGTGGCTTAGAGGTGTTGGGCATGCTGAATCAGCATACCTGCTATTAAGAGAGGAAGAAAAACAACCTTTTGCCTCGAAGTGCCCTTCAAGTGGATTTCCATAACGTATTTCCCCCTCCATTTCAAGTTAACCTTTTCAGTAAACCCATATCTCATCATATTGATAGGTGCTGCAGACTAGAGGTTCAACAAATGCCACAACAATGGATGAACCCATGGTTGTTGTTGTTGTTGTTGTTGTTAACAATGGCCTAAAATCTGAACACACACTGGCTCATTCAGGAAATTGAGATATGGATGGTATCCACCATAAGATCATTTTTTTTAAAAATGGCCTTGCAATGGGGAAAAAAGGTCAAACCTGATCAGTGGATTAATCTACCCCGTATAATTCATGGCTCAGATTTCCGCATTTGTATATATAGACTAGCAGGGTCTACTAACTTAGAGTTGGATTTGCACCTGGTAGATTCAGTCCTGACGTCAGATGGCGACTTAGACATTGGCCTTGGGTAAATCATGACCTTTCAGGATAAGTGAGATAGAAATAGCAATGAAAAGGTAATGATGCAAGAATTTGGTAAATATTGAATATAAGCTATGAGTTTTAAAGTTTTTATATGACAAGAGGGAAAATAGAATAAGGAAACGTAATGACAGATTGTTATGAAAAAACAGAAAGGATTTGCTGTAAAAATTAAAAATAAGAAACAAAAGAGGGAGGAGGAGGAAGACTAGAACGGAAGTCAATAGAGATTGTAAAGGACTTTATATTTTTGTTTTTCTGTTTCTCTTTTTTTTTTTCTTTGCGGCTGGGTTTTCTTTTCTTTTTTGTTTATGTACTATTTTTGTTTTTTGTATCCGTAAATTTTTTTTTGGAAATTTTTGTTGTTATTTTTTGAAAATTCAATAAATATCAATTATAAAAAAAAAGAAATAGCAATGAAGAACCTCATTGAACTGTGTCTAGGAAAGAGCTGGAAAAGAGGCATTTTTAAAAGTTTAACCATATGGGTAAAAATTTAACATAATAAATCCTGATCTGCATGTTTGCAGCACAGCGTCATTCATTATTGTCCATTATCATGTATTTAAGTGTTTTGCTGTTTTTATTAAACAGAAAATAAGTGCCAGAGGTGCAACAAAATCAAAGTTGTTGCATTAACATAGCCCATAATACTATTTTGACTGTTGTGCCTAAACCCATGCAGCCTGTTTTGTGCATCAGCGTGGACCTCATACAAGATCACGGCACACAGCAAGAGTAATAAATAAGTCAAGCTGTGCACGCAATTAATCAATATGATTTAGCAACAATAATATTTTATAATTCAGTGGTGGGTTCAGAAAAAATTCTCATGGAAAAAGAGGCTGTTGCTTGAACATATGGAGAGAAAGATCCTAAATTACTGCAGTACATAAAATTATAATGTTGAACTGTAATGTGAATGGCTAAGTGAAGTGTGCCATATAAACACATAATAAAATGTAAAAAATGAGCTGTATGTGCCCAGCATCTGCCCACACTTTGCCTACATTGAGGCCAGAATAATCTGCTCTTTGTTTATATTAATACTGAAAAAGGCTCCCCCCCCCCCCCGCTTTTTTGCAAGCTAAACTAGTCACACATCTCCCTCCTCTCTGGATACTAGTGACCATAAGCTGCAAACTGACATCTTCCATCAAAGGAAACTACTGAGTGGTTTATCTGTTGAGATGCAAGCATTTCTAAACTATGCAAGGCAGAGTGATAACGAGATTGGAAGAAAGGTAAGACATTACAGTTTGGACACAATGCGAAGTCATGTGTAGTAATAGCTAGTATCCATATTCTTTTCCTAGTGCTGATAACAATTCAGTGCAGCCCCTGAGGGCAGGAATGAGCTCTGTGGCCACCCAAAACTCTTCCAATTAATTTTAGTGAATGATGTGAAGGATTTTAATAATTTCCTTTAATTTAAGGGAAAGGGGTAGGTTTTTGACATTCATTGACCCATGGATATACTTGAAAACATATATAAAAAAAATTCTGAAACCAAGTTTTAAAAAAAGAGTAGTTTTCAGCTATCTTGGTTTCTTAGCCCTATCTCAAGATGGAATCAATTCTCTCTCTCCCCCCCCCCACAATGCTGAACAAGTTGACATCACAGAAATAACCAGTCCCTTTCAGTTGGTCTGTTCTTTTTGATACAAGCAAAGAAACTCTACTAGCTTGATGACTGCCAGGGTAAGTGTTCAGGAGCTGTACGTGTGTATGGTTACGCTGTGGGAAATCCTGTCTGACACTACTGTTGAGATAGTCCAAAACTGATTTGAGCTGTTCACTACATCTGGCACTGTGCTTTTCAGGGACTGAAGTGCCTGTTTCCCATTCAGAACAGACTGTACCCCAGAGTGATGTGACCTCTCGTCTCCTCTTCCAGCCACATTCCTTTTTTACAATAACAAATCATTCCCATGATAGGCTCCCAACTATTTCCTGTTGAGCAGTTCTGTGGTAGGGGCAAAAAGGGTGACCAGAATCATTCCTGTTGCTACAGTATAAATCCTAAAGGAATAGTGGTGGTTGAGGGAGGAAAAAAATAAACAACTGTCCATGGAGAAAGATAAGGGCTGTGTAAACACAATGAGGCTTTTTCTGGGTTTATTTGGACCTCACCATAGCTGGCACTTGGATGGATTATGAACGTATGCATATATTCTTACATTCTGAAGATGTAGGGGGCTAAGGAGGGTACTGTGCAATCAGCTTGTCAGAGGATGCTCACTTGAGCTCCTTTCTTCAGTTCTGGAACAGTACTTTTCTAGTTCTTCTCATCCTTTGATTACTTGGGGATGAGCGGTAGCTGCATCATATTATACTTGACTGCTACACTGTTAAGCTGCGTGTGAAAAAGACATTGTGCCTCTGCCTATTTCCTTGAAGTGAGGAGTAAAGAGGTGAGGTGTACCCAGTCCATGCGGCACAGAGACAGTCACTCTGCCACTGCACAGTGCCAACTGTTGATGCAACCTGCTGATGAGCTATGATAGAAATTATTCTGACAAAGGACCAGTTACACCTGCCAAGATCCCCTCTTCTACAGAGCAACAGTGTAAGATCCTCATTCTCAGTCGATTGCATATGGTCTGAAACTCTCCAGATGTTTTGTACTACAACTCCCAGCTCTGATTGGAGTTGTGGCCCACAGAAGCCAAAGGGCACTACACTGAGAAAGGCTGACGCAAATGTCACCCTTTAGTAATAACAGCTGCTGCAAAATGGGTTTTCTCTGTTAGAGTCTTAACAATGCAAGTTGAAAAGGCAGAAACACAAACACCCAACACAGAGTCTGGACTCTTGAGGGTCACGTATGAGTCTGGATCACAGATCTTGCTGGCCACACATAAGAGATTCACAACTTCCATACGACAGCCAACTATTTGGCCATTAAAGAAGGTGGACATTATTTTCCTCTTTTCTTACTTACCTCTTGATGTAAGCAGGGAAAAGTAACATGGAAAGAGGTTCAAAGAGATAAAAAGGGCACACTCACTTTTGCAGTTCTGCTACAAACACTAACATATTTTTTATTGCAGCCCCTCTCTTCCAGCCTAACCCAACTACAGCTTATCCTTTTAACCATTTTATCACCTCTTACTCATCCACCCCAACTTCTTGATATGCCTTCCTATCTCCAGATGCAAATGCATGACGTTAATTATTTGTATTCCATCTGGTAAGGTCAAATGTGTGGCATTTGATGGAATCCACATGGATTTTAAATGAAATGTAGTCTTTGAGTCAGCATGAAAGCCCTTTCTAGGAGTATGAGAACAGCTTTAGTGAGCAACAGAAAGATTTGTTCTCCAGCGTAGTACATTGAACCCTTCTGGGAAAGGGCCACGTTGAATAAACAGAAGTGCCCCCTCTCTTATTTTCCTTTTATCTCTTCCAGTCACGAAGTCACAATTTGAAAGAAAAAGAGCTAGGAATGATGAACATTTTCACAGAGATTGGAAATCCTCAATATTTTCTCGAGGTATTCATGTTTAATCATTCCACCAAGGCAGATATACAAGGGACAATGTAAAGACCCCATTATAAGCACTACTTCATACACTCCAACATTTCTCAAATGAAAATAGGGATGTCCCATTCCATAACGCTAATTTTACTATTTATACCCCACACTGCTTACTGGGTTTCCCCAGCCACTCTGGGCAGCTTTCAACATATTAAAAAACATCATTAAACATTAAATATTAAAAAAAATTCCTATACAGGATTGTCTTCATACAGGTCAAGAGTAAAATAACTCCATACCCTCCAACATTTCTCCAATGAAAACAGGGACATCCAACCATACCCTCAAACATTTCTCCAATGAAAATAGGGACATCCTAAGGAAAAGTGGGACATTCCGGGATCAAATCAGAAACTGGGATGGCTTCTCTAAATCAGGGACGTTCTTGGAAAATAAGATACTTGGAGGGTCTGCTACTTTACTGCAAATTGTCCTATTAAAATGAGCTAGGAACACAGATGTGAGAAGGCTATCTGAAATAACACTGTAGCAATTGCCTCTCACACTGCTTTTGATTCTAGCCTTCATTTTAAATGATGTTTTCACATGTGATGCTAAAATAAAAGCATATTTAAGCCTCTTTGGCGTCACAATGCAAAATGTGAATCTTGTTAATGTGGAAGGTTTTGCAGCAGAGACAATAGGATGAACAGTGTAGGCAACATTGGCTCTGCATGCACATTATTAGATAGATTTAGAGCAACCAGTTTCAGCCTTATTTATAAAATCTCTCTAAATTGGGATCAGTGCTGATTCCTGCTAATCAACAGGCCCTGAAAATCCCTTTAAAGGTTCATTCATATTAAGGAGCACTCTACTTGCTTCACTTTTCTCATTTCACATCATTTTCCTTTTCATGCTATGTCCTACTTTATTTTGAAATAGATTTTATTCTCACAGACCAACCCCTTCTATCAAGATTGTATGTATAGGGTTTTGTTTTTTTGTTTTTTAAAGGGCTGGTATAATTTTAGAGAAGTTGTGTTCAACCTGTTCTGAGTGGAGTCACACTCCCCTTAAAGGATCAGATTCACAGTTTGGTGGTACTGATACAACCATACCTCACAGTGCCTACAGGGGCTGCATGAACCACAGCCCCTCCTGGATAGAGACAGCCAACATGGCCACTCCAAAACATTGTACATGGAACTGCCTTTGAAGACTTCTATGGAACTTCAGTTAGTACAAACGCAGTGACTAGTTTGCTAAATGGGATGGGTTAGTTGCTACCTAAATGGTTTGGGAGCTGACTGCCTGAAGAACTGCCTTCTTCCACACAAGCCTGCCTGAACCCTCTGTTTTTCACTGGATAACATTCTTGGTGTGAGATTAGACAGAGGTGACTGGACAGAGACAGGCTCTTTGGTCATAGTGCAATGAATGCCCTTCCTATGAAATGCAATCTGGCATCAATTCTGCTGTCCCTTTGGTACCAGAGAAGACATTTTTATACTCCCAGAAATGTAGTATAGTATAGCTCTGATAGATTTTACTGGTTTTATGGCCTCTGTTTATATGCTTTTATTTTTGGTTTCGTGCTTTTTTATTCAGAGCCGATCAGTTGTACGCTGTGCTAGAATTTTTATGCTGAGAGTGATCTAGAAATTATATTAGCTAAATAGGTCTAATTAATGATTTTTATTTTTTTTTAGATTGTAGAGGTTGGCACTAGTGAAAACTGTGTCTCTTTAATCTATAAATAGTCTTCATTCATAAACATAGAGTAAGAAACGTTACACTGCAGCAAAAATATTCAAATCTATTTTTTTTTAATATAAAATAATTGCCAGATCTCCTGGCATACCAGCTCCAGTTTAAATCTATGATCTTCACATGTAATTGGAAATTGTGGCAGTATATATAGAATTGGTTTAAAATTCATATTACAATTAAAATAAATCTGATCTGCCCTAGAAGAAAATCCTTACTTTCCATCAGGGTTGTTTTACAATGGAGATGGATATAAATGCAACTAGGCTGCTTATATGGCATATGACTGTTTAAAAAGCTAAGTAAACAGGAAGTAAATTCTTCCATGTGAACAAGACCTGGGAAAGCAGAAAAAAAATCACAAGACTTTGGGAAAAGTTGATGAATAAATCAGAAACACATTAAGATTTGCTGGTAAATCAATTAATTCAAGCTGAAGTGATGGAATAAGAAAAATATCTGGTGACCACACGTAATTTAAAAACTCATTTCCCCTTCAAAGCTGAGCAGGCAACCAGGAGGCCAAGACACAACGTCCTGGTTCAACAGCAGTTGTTGCAGCCAGGCCTGGCACAGTCTTTAGGAGCTCTGCTGATGCAGTGTAAGATTTTGGCATGACTTCTGGTTTAGTTTTTGCTTCTCATGCCATCATGGGAAGAAAGCTGTCTTTTTGCATTATTCTGTCCAGTAAATCCAAAATAGTGCTGACACTAGTGCTACTTCTCTTTATGTTGGATATGCTACTACTACTACTTATAATTATTATTTATTCATTAAGTTCAACAGCAGCCGCAAATAGCAGCTTCCCTCATGTGCCAAACAGCAGTTTCAGCAGGGGCAAGTTTCACACTGGAAAGTGTTACACTCCTATCCTTTTGCACCATAGTCTAGATCATGGGTAGGCAAACTAAGGGCTGGGGCTGGATCCAGCCCAATCGCCTTCTAAATCTGACAAGCGGACAGTCCAGGAATCAGCGTGTTTTTACATGAGTAGAATGTGTGCTTTTATTTAAAATGCATCTCTGGGTTATTTGTGGGGCATAGGAATTCGTTCACCCCCCCAATATAGTCCAGCCCCCCACAAGGTCTGAGGGACAGTGGACCGGCCCCCTGCTGAAAAAGTTTGCTGACCCCTGGGTCTAGATCCTGATCCCCACCACCAACGGCTACCATTTAACTTACAAATGTGGAAACTTTGATCACCAAACAGTATGTTTAACATAAAGTGTAGTTTGGCCTGTAGTTGAGTTGGTATTACTATCTAGATATTATAAACTGGGATTTTTGACATGGTGACAGTGCAGAATCTGACATTCTGCAGCCATAGTGCGGCCTACCAAGTCCCATAGCCTTCCCACCTGGCGAATCTTCAGTATATGATTGCACCCAAACAGATTTATTTGTGGCATTCACTTTTATGGTCCTGCATCTGGGGGTCTAGGCTGTTCAAAAGTACGACATGTTAAATGGTTTAGGCTTTAAGGTATTTCCTGTTTGTCAGCCTTTTATCTGTGCTCTGGAGACAGCGACTCGTCACTTTTCTCACGAGGATAAAGTTTGGTGACTGAGCCATAATGGCAAGGACCAGTGTTTAATTTCCAGGGGGAAAGCTGATTAAATCTACTTGAGAGCCACATCCTGTGGACCATAAAAATGTTTTTAAAGTAAAATAAATAAATACTTATGTTAGTATGGTAACATAGTGCTGGCTTGATTTCCACTAGTAATGCAGTTTCTTAGTCCCACTATTAACTCCTTGCTGCAGTGAGAAATAGCTCTGTACTGTGCCTGTTTGCTATTCCACCCCCCTTAAAATCAAAAATGAAACCAGAGTACATGCATGCTGCAGAGGTGATTACTGAAGAGCAGGAATGCAGAGCCAAAGAGGAACAAAACAGGAAGAAACTAGAGGGCAGGGGATGAAAGTGCAGTGAGGAAAGGTGCTGGTGTTCACCAGGATTATTATGTTTTTTAAATGTAAAGGTTATATGAACCTGATAGTCTGGTAGGGCAGAGAAAGCTCAGCTTCTTAGAAAAGCAATTTTAACATGGGCAAATAGCATTCCAAAAGGTGCCATGAGCAGCAATGAGCAGGAGTATGCCTTTGGTCACCAATGACGCCATGGGCACCATCCGTCAGCTGCCCATGACATCCAAGTGAAGTCCTTCCACAAGGCACAATCAATCAAAATTGGAGCACTAGCAGAGCGGGTGGGTGGGGGAACTTAGGAGGGGGTTGCATTTCCCAGCAACATTAACTTGTGGTTTGAGGGCTTGCAAAATGAAATTTCCCCACAACTGATGTACTATCTGGAGGGAAAACATTTGGATTTCCTGTGCAGCTGAGTGATGTCTGCACATTCCCTTGAAACAGTTGTCTGGAAAGGGACTACTTCTTGGGAAAAGAACATTTATTTGCTTCTTTGTTTTTCTAGCCTTCTTCAACCTGAAAGTTCAAGAGGATAACAAAAATACGTATTTTTTAAGAGTGAGATGTCATTATTAAAAGCTACCCTATGTACACCTTCTGTCACCTTCACTCTGAAAGCTAGCCCAGACTGACAGGACTCTGCTTGGATTTTATTACACCTACAGGGTGAGACTGTTCCATATCTAGGGAATGGTCACAGAGAATGCCTCATTGCTGTGTGAAAACAGTATCAGAAAGAAGATGTTCTTGGCGGATCTTACAGATTGGAATGGGATATATGGGAGGATCTAGTTTTGATGGTATATGGGGCTTAAACCATTTAAGACCTTTTATGTAGGCTAAAACCAGGAAAGAGAAGGGAGCTAATGATCACGGCTGCAATATTCTTCAGGTGAGTTGTACAAATCGCATAACAGAGAGACGAATCCAATTTTGATACAGCAAGCAGGTGTGCGAGTGAAGGGTGCTGGTTCCTTCTCATAGTCCCCATCCCAGGTTGCTGAGCTAAGCACTCAGGGAAGCAAACTGGGGGAATAAGCCACTAGGGAGGAGAACACTGTACTCCTCAACCATGCTCCCCCTTTGCTGATAAAATCAGATCCACAAATGTTATTTAGATATATGATATGGGCATGCTCTCTTCAGGCAGAGAGTTACAGCAAGTGCTGCTTCTAGCTGAACAAGTTGCTATCTCGTGGCAATCCTAGCCAACATTTCCCCTCAAGCGTTTTTAATTTCCCAGGAATTTGCCATCTTCTTTGTTCTTTTGAAAGTGGAACATTCTCCTTTCTGTTTGTTTCTTTGGCTCTGTGGTTTTCCTTTTCCAAGCATTTTCCCCCCAGCACAAGGGATGAACTAGGATTTTGTGAGGAAGAGGCTAGTACTTTTAGTGAGCGAAGCTCAATCTGGTTTGCTGTTAGTGGTTATAGTAGACTATTCTATTCTAGTCTACTAACATGAGTTTGACCAAACTGAGGGAGGCAGTGGAAGACAGGAGTGCCTGGCGTGCTCTGGTCCATGGGATCATGAAGAGTCAGACACGACTAAACGACTAAACAACAACAATATGACACAAATTGGTTGTTTTACTTCGCTCTGGCCAAACAGTGAGTGAGTGAATGACAGTCAAAGAGAAGAAAAGCTTTTGAAAGAAACAGAGTACAAGGTAAAGGATGGGGGAAAAGAAATTGACTGGACCATAAGTGTTTTGTGACATAGCCTAGTGAATTTCATATCTGAGCTGTTCTGCCAGGCCTTTGGTCTGGGCCCAGTCTGACCCCCTTTTTTCTGTGGGACGCTGTATGTAAGTGGCTTCCTTGGCTCTTTCTATCAGCCCATATGAGACCAGCACGGGTGGGTGGGCCTGGTGAACATTTAATATTCCTTACCCCTATGGCTGTGATTTGTGGGTTCCCACTTAATTTTATTCTGATTTTGAACTGTATTTTAACCAATTGTTTGATTTTGTGTTTTTATGTATTATATATTTGGTGTTGGCCGCCCTGAGCCCGGTCTTGGCTGGGGAGGGTGGGGTAGAAATAATAATAATAATAATAATAATAATAATAATAATAATAATTTTATCCTCCCTTTGAATCCTATGGGAATAAAGGGAGCAGCTGTGCATAGGAAAATTGAATGAATAGGCATTTCCCTATAAATGAGATTCTCACCCCATTACATTTTACAGTGGTACCTCTGGATGCGAACGGGATCCGTTCCGGAGCCCCGTTTGCATCCTAAGCAGAACACAACCCATGTCTGGACATGCATGGGTCGCTATTCGCCGCTTCTGCGCATGCATGTGATGTCATTTTGAGCGTCTGCACATGTGCGAGTGGTGAAACCCGGAAGTAACCCATTCTGTTACTTCCGGGTCACCGCAGAACCCAACCTGAAAATGCCCAACCTGAAGCTACTTTAACCCGAGGTATGACTATATACAGTTATCAAGCTACTATTGTGATATGAAGGTTAATCCTTGTGGGATATGGAGAAGTTCTCACTTCTGTTCAGAAATAGTAATACTCTAATCCTATGCATGCACATTGCGTTTAGTGTAACTTATACCCAAATATGTGTACATAGAATGGCAGCCTAACTTTTCTGGAATTATCCATTTATTGTTTTACAACACTTGCCCATAATGCATATGTATCATAATGGTTCACAAAGCACTTCACAATAATAAAATCAGGCTGATAGATAGATACTCAGAGTGATAGATCTGGAATAGCAAGTCTTGTATCATGTGTTGTATCAAGGAACGTCCACCAGGGGGGTAGGGGTAAGGAGATGTTTTTAAGAGTCATATTTTTGAGAGCCCTTTCCCCAGTTAAACTGGTGTTTCTGCTGCCATCTCTGGGCATGTGGTATCAATCGATCACAGTTCATAGAGCTATTACGAGCAAAGGCCACTGGAGTCACTATGGATGAGTGATGTACAAAGACCCCTGCCCAGCCTTCTTGCTGCTGATGGTGGTGGCAAAGAAAGCTCATGAGGGAGGGAGGAATCTTCTTTGCAGGCCAACATGTGTCCCTATAGTTCCATAATTCTAGTCACTAGAACTGTGGAATGATAGAATTATGGCCGAATATGTCTTCTTCAAACAAAGTCTTTAAAAAAAAAAACCTTGCGAAAATATTCAGTACATACTTAACACAAGAAATATGATAAACAGATTGTATAAGCTGGAATCTGTAATGTACTAATCTCTGCATGCTGGAAAGGCACATATTTCATTTTGCTAAGGAAAACATATCATAGGAAGAGGCGTACAAATTACACCAACTGTCTATTGGAATTTACAGTGGTGCCCCGCAAGACGAATGCCTCGCAAGACGGAAAACCCGCTAGACGAAAGGGTTTTCCGTTTTGGAGGTGCTTCGCAAAACGAATTTCCTATGTGCTTGCTTCGCAAGACGAAAATGTCTTGCGAGTTCCTGCGGGGTTTTTTTCCTCCCCCCCCTTTTTCCCAAGCCGCTAAGCTGCTTATCAGCTGATCCTTAAGCCGCTTAACAGCTGATTGCTAAGCCGCTTATCAACTGATCCGCTAAGCCCGCTAAGCCGCTAATACTGTAGCGCTAATCCGCTAAACCGCTAATGGGCTTGCTTCGCAAGACGGAAAAACCCGCAAGACGAAGAGACTCGCGGAACGGATTCTTTTCGTCTTGCGAGGCACCACTGTATTTATTCTTTCAGTGGTCTCAGCCAGATAGGATTCTATCCCAAGTATTGGTGGTGGGTAGGGAGCTGGGTGAGTGATTCAGATTCCAGCAAGGCAAAGCCAGTTTCCAGTTCTAGTAAGGCAATGCCAAATATGGTAAGAGTCAAGTTCCAGCAAGGCAAAGTTCAAGCAAAGCAAGTAGCACCCTGGATAGCTCCATGCAAAGCTCAGGCTGAAAGGTCATGCAAGCAAATTCGAAAGGCTTCAATGGCAGGCAAACACAAAGCGAGCCCTAAATAGAGCTGCAGCTCTTTCCGGGGCGGTGATCTCCCCTTCCGGTGCTCAAAGCCTCTTCATTTAAAGGGGTCTGGCCCAATTCAGCAACCAGGGGAAATGATGGTTTCACTGAGGCAATGTGAACTCAACAGACTAGGGAGGTGCTGGCAACTCAGACTCTGCTTTTGCTAAACCTTCTAGTGCAGTGGGAACATATGGCAGTGATATTTCCTCTGAATCCCTGGCCTTGTCCCTTGAAGAGTCATGACAACTTTCAAAGAGTCATAAGAAGACAATGAATTTCTAATTGGCCACTGCGCTTAGGAAAGTTGGGGGTTTTTTTTAATAGAATCAGTCACACACCATATCATATATAGGCAACAGCAAATCCATATGCAACCCCATATATTTTAGATTTTTTAAAAGAAAGGATTTTAAATAAACTGTGAGTGTTAGAGATCAATCACATAACCAGGCACAGCACACCCATGAGGCAAAAGTGCTGATCTCACCAAAACCTGACAAGATATTGTGGAGTGCACAACATCTCACAAGATTTCAGTGAGATCTTGCTGGAAAACAGCACCACTTCTTCACTGAGTGGCAATACAGGATGCATTGTCCTGCTCATCGTCATTCACTATTTTACTAAAAGTACACTGAGTGGCATACTGAATATACATAAGAACATAGTAAAAAGTACTACAGCCAGTTTCTAAATAAAGAGTGTAAGCCTCCATCTTCAGGCTCACTGTCTCATCTGTAAAGTGGGAATAAAAGGAATTTACTCCACAGTTATATAATTTGCTAACTTGGGGGGGGGGGAGAATCACTGTATAACCCCCAAGTGTTATGATTAGTAATCCTCACATGTACAGGAGAAGTGTTGTTGCTCAGAAGACATATATAAAAACCAGATGAGTTGTAGTGGTTTCAAACATACACACTCTGTACACCTACTATATCCAGCTAGTAAAATAAATTGGCCCTTAGATGACGCAGGAAGTACCATGAGTCGTCACAAAGATGCTTCATAGCTCATTAATCTGGAATGCTGTGGTTATGATCCTATGCTAACTCTGTTCCAAAATTAAAGCTGAGGAATTATGAGCAATCCCTGCAGACTCTGTTTGGATCTTCAGCAATCAGCATGCACTCAATACACAACCAACCTATAGCGTGGAGGAAGATAGCATAGGCTGGCTGTTCACCAACATTGATCCAGTGTATGACCAGTCCAAGGATTTGCACTTTGTGGACTTGTCTTCTGTATGAGGCTCGCTTCAGTGTTCATTGTCAAAAGGTTGGCAGCAAAAAACCATATTGAACTTTTGATTACCTTGGATTTCCTCTCTCCACCTACACTGGTGGTCCCTGTCTGAGGTTGAGAAAGAGGATGTTAGTAATTAAGTCTACAGGGAGAAGATGTCTCCTGTGGAATTGCTAGTCACATTTGTAATCCCATGTTTTCTCCAAAGGAACTTGGGTATTCTCCAGCTTTCTACTCACAAGAATTTGCTTTTTTAACAGGGCATTGCTTGCTACGAAAGGAACTCCCATGATGCGACTTCTGTTTTTGAAGATGCTCCTCTTCTTGCTGTTCTTTCTCACAGGTAAGCAAACACAGATGACTAAGTGTGTCTTTGTGAACTGCTCAAGGAATCCCCATGGTGCACAGGACAGATAAAGAGAAAAGGAGGTGCAGATATGGCAGTTCTCCTGTTGAGACATGTCCCCCTGTCTTAGCCATGTGCTTGCAGTCTTAGTGTGCAGACCCAGTAGCATTTAAATGAAAGACATTTTTTTCCCCTCATAGGCTGCAACATGCTCATTTTCCTGTTCTTGTAGGGCAGGCCTATACAACTTGCAAAACAGGAATAAATACACAGCCCACAATTCCCTTTATAACAGCTATGAGGAACTAGATTTAGGTTGCAGACAGAGGCTTGAATGAACCCAAGTATGTGCAATGTGCTTCTGTATAGGCAAGGGAGAGGCTAATTTTGCTTATCAGTGGTAGCCTCTAAAACAAGAATGGGGAGCCTGTGGCTCTCTAGAAGTTGCTGGACTTCAACCCCTTTAATCTATGGCGATTGGCCATGCAGGCTGGGAATTGGAATCCAACAACATCTGGAGGACTTTAGGTTCTCAAGCTCTGTCTTGAAGGTCGGAGGCTTTCTCGAGCATGTGGTAGTTTAATGTTTAAATGTTCTCTTTTCTCCCTATAGGGTGTTATTCATAGGTTATCAATAAATGCCAAAAGTAAATAAATATCATTTATTTTGTTGTTTATTATTTATTTAAAACATTTATATGCCACCTCTCTTTAAAGTAATTTCTCTGCCTTGTAAGTGAAACGATTCAAAATGATTCAATATACAATTGCAAACAATCTGATAAGAACCGCATATATCACAATACATAAACAAAAAGGGGTGGAATGGGCTGCTGCCACAGAGGGTCCAAAACCTTTAGGGAGATTTTAAGGGGCATATAAGGGTTGCTATCAGAAAAGGGAAGTTGAAACTACCCTGTGTTTAAGCAGAAGTACCCTCATGCTTCTCTGAAGCTAAACCAAATTAAAGGATTGTGGGGGGGTTTTCAGAAAGTTTACGTCACTTTTTAAAAGGGATGCTTCTGGTGGTTTGCTGTACACTCTTCCTGCTTTTTTCAGATGTTGTGTGGTATTGCTTCAAAAAATTGCAAAACCTGCTTTATCAGAAGTGACAGTGGGATGAAAGAAATGTTTGTGTGTACATAGTAGGGTTGTCAGCTTTTCATCATGTTGCTGTGTCCTGAAACCCAGGCAGATGGGCAGGATATAAATAAATTATTATTATTATTAAGCAGCTTTATGTGCAAACATTAGCAGGTTGGCACATCCACTCAGTGAAACGCTTCGCTTGAAGTTGCCATTGCTGTTGGATGGACTGAGTTCACCTTGGTCGCTTATAAACAGCAATGCTTAAGGAATTCATTATTTGTGAATTTCAGTATGAACTGATCTGATCCACATCTCCTGGATTATTATGCAGATTGAAGCACAGTTATCCCTCAGTCTTTGCACCTTTCTTGGCTTAAAAAAAATACCCTAATGCATATAAAGATGGAGAAATACATTTAGAAATGTGTGTTTTGAGGGGGGGAGTTTCAAAATGTATATTTATTAGAAAATACATTCAAAAATATGAATTTTGAATTATTTTAAAACTGGAGATTAAATGGAGAAATGGAGCACATGCAAACCAATACAGACCAGAAATAAAGTGATCTGTTCATCCCTATTTGCAAATTGTGCAGGTCTCTTATAGTGTTTTTCTCCTTCTTTCTACACAAATGGAAGATTTCTGGCAGAGGTTTTCTGGCAGCTGAAGAAGCTGTCTCTCCTTAAGGCAAGGGACCTTCAAAATAAAGATTTTGTGCCTTGGCACCAAATGAAACATGAGTACCTTCACTTTCTTTACGCTCCAAGAGCAAGGCCAGAACTGCTTCCTAGATGCCCACGCTTAAAGCTTACTGCTTCACAGTCTTCACTGCTGTCCCTCAACATCCTGTTTTCCCCCTGCTACAATTACACCTTTTATTCATGTTATTTTGTAAATGTCCTGAGCATAGTAAGTCTCTGTTGCTGTATTTGTGGGGAACATTTATTTTTTATTTAGATGTGGGCAAAATATGTTTAAAAAGCAGATCAGGGTGGCTGTTCATTTGTCTTAAAACAAAAACAAAAACAAAAGTCTTTCAAATATTTTGGGTCTCTTTATTATATTTTTCTGTTTTGTTGTGTATTATTTCATTGTTTTTAACATTTGTAAGCCACCTCTTAATGGAAAGGCAGGGTACTGAAAAGCACCATAAATAAATAAAATAATCCATATTTTGGAAGCTCAGATTGATGAGTTTTGAAATCCTGGAATTGGCAGTACTACATGGAGAGATAGCCTGGTGATAAATCTGCAAGAATCTTTCTGTCTTTCTAGCTGCAGTACACATTTCTAAACTGAAGCATTTTGCACTCTCCTTTCATTGTCCTATGCAATGGGGAACGATTTGTGACAGTTGTACTTCCATGACCAATATAATAGCTGTGGGAGCACAATTACACAATGAGAAGGAGGACAGTTAAGTGGAGTATAGCATATCCTTCTTATATGGCTGTTTCCACTCTCTAGTAACATTGGGAAACCTCTCTGCAAAAGCTAGGAAGCTGGCAGCTGTGATGGGCTCATAGGAAGCAATTCAGGAAGACATTGTCTACCTTGACATTTCCGAAAGATTTCCTGGCAATTTTACTTTTAGTGTTGTTGTGATTTTCCTCTCACATTTGGAACATGACTAGATCTATCCAATACAACATGCAAATGAAATCACATAATGGAAATAAGTGTCATGGATGACACTTCACCTTTTAAATACATGATAGAAAAAAGCAATGAAATGCAGTTTGTTCCTATGAGTCTCCCCTTCTTCAACTTAGTATTAAAAAGCCAGAATATTAAACGTTCTAGGAGAAGGAAATATATGCATTATCCTGTGGCTTTCCTATGGCCAGGCATAGGCAAACTTGGCCCTCCAGCTGTTTTTGGACTACAACTCCCATCATCCCTAGCTAACAGGGCCAGTGGTCAGGGATGATGGGAGTTGTGGTCCCAAAACATCTGGAGGGCCGAGTTTGCCTATGCTTGCCTTTGGCCCTGTGCTGATGTCTGACAGTGCAATCCTATACATGTCTACTCAGAAGTAAATTTTATTTAATGTAATGGTATCTGTCTCTTGGTAAGTGCGTAGAGGATTGCAACCTTAATTATCTATTCACACCATATAATCGTCATTGAGCAAATCTGTGCTTTCTTTATAATGTTTGGTTTTGCCATAACAAAGAAATTAAGGACCAACACCAGGCTCTCACTTTTGGTTGAGAAATAGTAGGTGGAGAAAGAGGCCAATTATCTCATATATGCCTATGAATTTTCATGAAACATCTGTGATTGACCAGTGTGTTAGAACCACTAAAGCAATCAGGATTGTGGTTGAGCTTTGCATGCAATTCAAGAGTTAAAACAATGAATGCATGATTAATGATTAATGACTACTGCCATGTATTGTAAGTTGCTTGGAGACCTTTGGGTAACAAGCAGCTAACAAGTTTTAACATCACCACCTCAGCTTCTGAACTGTGGGACTTTAGTGTTTCTCTTATGATTTGTTTTTCTTCAAGGATTGCCACAAACCAGCTCCCTGGAGATTTCTCCTAATGACCAAGAAGTCATCCTCAGTCTCTACAGTGATTTTTCTGTGATATGCTCAGGGCAGAACGAGATTTACTGGAAAAAGGACAGCAAACACGTATTAGACACTGGGCTGGAGAGAAGGGACAACACTTTTATTAGCGTCCTTACACTCAGGAATGTGACTGGCTATGATACGGGTGAATATTCCTGTCTCTACAAACAATCGGCAGAGGAAAAAGCCATCTACATTTTTGTACCAGGTATTGGTGATTGCAGTGCTTTGCTGCTTTTAAGTCTCTGGGTTGGTGTGCATGCATGGAAATCTGGAAGACTAGGATATATAGGAGGATGTTGAAGAAAGGTGATCTCTGGTGTGGTCTGGGACTGTGAATGCTACAGGTTATAACTTTGTGGCATATGCATATTCCACAAAACCCTACCATCTTCAGAGATGGCCCACCTTAAAGAAATAATTTAACTTAGATATATATATAATCTTATTTTGCAACAACTCCAGTCTGACAAGAAGGAAACGCTGCTTTGTCCAAGCTAGAGAGAAAATAGGACTGTAGTATTCCAGTAACACTAGACCTGATGCAGAGTCTCTTCCAATTCAGCCTTATTCTGTATTGTTTTTAATACTAATAATATTTTAATATTCAGCTGGAAGCCGCCCAGAGTGGCTGGGGAAACCCAGCCAGATGGGTGGGGTATAAATAATCAATTATTATTATTATTCATTGTTCAGTTTACAAATGTCTTATGCCAGGAATTCATCTTTTTTATTATTGCTACTGAATATTATATGTGCTGTTGCATAATTAATTGGTTTCTCTCCACCTTCTTCTACCTATAGACCCCTCTTTGCCATTCGTACCTAGCAGCCAAGAGGACACATTTGTTTTCACCACAGGCCATGGTGAAGACATTATCCCATGCCGTGTGACAGACCCCAACACAAGAGTGACCCTTTATGAAAAGAAGATCGATGACCCAATCCCCAGCACTTATTTTGCACAACAAGGCTTCAAGGGGTACTTTGAAGACACGTCCTACATCTGCAGGGCAACATTAGACGAGCAGGAGTTTGACTCAGAAACATTTTATGTGTACAGCATCCAAGGTGAACCTTTTCATAATACTTTCCTCATCTAATGTGGGCAAAGGAGTTGCTCTTCAGTTAAAAGTTACGGTCTTTCTGTACTGAAATACAGCAGCCTAATTTTGTGTTTTGGTGTTGAGTCTCACCCATTGAACAACATGTAGCAGATGAAGCCAGTCCACCCTCCTGCCCAAAGTGCAAGACAACCTTTTGGAAGTGGACCTGCTCAATTAAAATTGGCCATGTCCGCAGAGTGTTCAGTGTGCTTTGCACCTGGAACAGTTGCCCGATGTAATGGAGTAATCTCCATTGTGTTGCCATATTTATTCTTCAGCCTATGCTGAGATTTATTTTTTGAGGTGGCAGCAGGATTACTCACATCTTCATAGAGAGAAAATTAAAGTCAATGTGCAAAGGAATAGTCATACAACAACCATGAACCCAGCAATATGAACTTGGTGCACATCCCATGTGCATTTTCAGTCACGTGAATCTGTCCTCCTGTAATTTTGGCTTCTTTTCATACTAATTTGAAATTTCCCCTTTTATAGTTTCCTCTTCTCCTACCTCCGTCATCAATGTCACTGTCAGTGCTGTGCAAACTATTTTGAAACAAGGGGAAAATATCAGTGTGACTTGTGCAGTGAGAGGCATTGATCTGGTCAATTATACTTGGAGTTATCCTGGCCAGAAGGTAAGCAAATGGCCGGGGTGGTGGGGAGTGGCTGGGAGGGAGAGGAGGTTTGTTTTGTCTTCTCATCCAGACTGGACATAACACAAGTGATGGACTAATTGCCATGTTGTCTTCTCTGTAGAAGGGTGGGCAGTCATTACAGCAGAGAGGCAACTGTTTGAGTGTAATAACTGGGCTACAAAGCCAAGTGTGGACGCCCCCTCCCACAATCAGGAATTATTTTGGGACTGCATACTTATGCACACTTACCTGGGAGTAAGTCTGTTCTGAGCAGGCATGCGCAAGATTGCACCATTAACTTGCTTGTGGTAAAATGCCCTGGGAACATGGTTACAGGGTAACATATAAATATTATTTAATAATTTGATAACTGAATACTCCATGAGCACCTAGGATAGGATGGAAATATTAATGAATTCATTAATGAAGTGCCCTCCATTTCTGTTCACTGCCTTGTTACTTTATGAGATGGTAATATGTAAATACTCCTATTAAAAATAAAATATAAATAAAAGAGTGAACGCAATCTGCTGCTTGAGTAGATGAATGGGGAAAAGCATACCAAGCTGCCTTATTACTTATGTATTAGCACACTGCCATGGTGCTTTCTTCTAAGGGCCTTTCAACATCAGATGTGTTGATTCGTTAGATGGAAAATAGATGCCAAATGCAAGTGCCATATGAACAGCAGAGAAGTAATTTGCACATCCCTGAATGACTCCTATAGAGGCTCCTTTACCTATACATCAGTAGCTAGTAGTCATGATTGTTATGCTCTTCCTCCACTGCAAGGGGCATTATCCAGCTTTCAGGCTTTGCATAGGCACCTGGCCATCCACTGTGAGAACAGGATGCTGGACTAAATGGGCTATTGGCCTGATCCAACAGGCTTATCTCACGTTCTTATGCTCTTACCTTCAGTCATTTGAGCGTGGCTACGTGGGTTCAACAAACCCTTCGACACAATTGAAAAAACTCCTGTAATGCTAAGCGCCATGTACATCATGTAATCTTTTTGCCATTCTTCTGCAGGTAGGCAAGGAGGTAAAACCATGGACCGATGTTGGAACAAGGGGCAGTCGCGATACGAGTACCACCTTAACCATCCACAATGCAGAGCTGGAGGATGAAGGAGATTATATCTGTGAGGCCACTGACACCTATCATGGGCAAAAAGAAACACAAAGCATCTTTATCAGAGTGATTGGTATGTTTGTATATAAAATTCCATCGTTCTGGTGAAATTTAATTAGATGGTGTTGAACTGACTCTATGGACCTTTTTTTTTATTGAGCTTTGATTATTTTACAGAACTATTATCTTGCAAAGGAGTTGCCAACCTTTGTGGGGCATGTGGGCACCTCTCCCTCTGGTCACTTATTTCCCTTTTCAGCCAGGTCATACATCAACAGACAGAAAAGCATAAAACATGAACACTTTTCCATGGGGTCTGGATATCCAGTAGAATTAAAGTAGATCCTCTTGACTGTATAATTTTCAGTGGGTTCCCCCAAAAGCTTGCACTGCTGAACTGTTAAAATCACAGATCTGGTGTTTCTGAGGAGCACAAAAGCATTGTTCCAAAACACAGAGCCTCACACGTATTCATGGTTTTTATACTAAATGACAACAAAACCACCAAGAAGTCACAAACACACCTATGTACACAAAGGTGATCTATGTTTTGATGGTGGTTTTGGGAGGAATTGTAAAAATTACAAGGATTCCTAAGGATCCATGCCTCAGATTCATGTTTTTGCACCATGGCATCATTGGAAAGTGTCAGATCTGTGATTTTGTTGTTGTTTCCATTAAGAAACAGATGTGAGACATGACTTGATGGTGGGATGTTGGTAACCCATGAAAGAAGTGCAATATTAAAACCATCCGTTTTACTGGATCCAACATGTGTGCACATGCACTGTCTTGGAGACTCTGTTCTTTCTCTTTTCCCCTTGTGACACTCTACATTCTCCCCTTGCTCCCTGCTGGTCACTCTGTTTTCCTACAATCTCTCAACTTGATCCCATTTCCTTCCTACCCACTCAGTCACTTTGCTTTCTGTTCAGCTGTTCAAACTGCAAAACACATAGATCTGAAAGAGGAAGCTGGAAAGATGGCAAAGTCAAAGCCACTCTGCTTACCTGTGAATTTTCTCTCCCACTTTTCCTTATCTAGAGCATGGCTTTGTGACCTTCCACACTATTCTGAATGACACAGTGTCTGCTGAACTGCACAAAAGCCACACCTTCCATGTGCTGATTGAGGCGTATCCAAGCCCAACCATTGTTTGGCTTCAGAATAATCAGCCCCTGACTTCAGAGAGCAACAGTGAATTTGCCATCAGCACCAGGAATTCCTCAGAAACCAAGTAAGTGTCTGCTGTCGGATGAGCTAGGAAAATCAGCCAGGGAATGTGACCCTGGTTGCTCCTTCTGGATCTTTCAGTGGCTGTTAATGCTGTCCACCACTACATCCTCCAAGAACATGTCTGTGAGTAGAAGGCACTGACCTGTTGTGGTTCTGCTCCTACCTGCAAGACTAGTCTCAAAGAATGGTATTGGGAGTCTATGCCACACCCTAGCAACATAGCTGCAGGGTGCCACAAGGCACTATTTTATCCCTGATGCTACTTAGCATCTATATGAAGCTGTTGGGAGTAGTTATCTGGGGTGCACAATCCTGATCACACCCAGCTGTGAGTCTCCATTAAGGCTGTGCACAAGCTGAACCAGTGCTTGCCTGAGGGCTCACAAAATGAATCCTGTTAAAAGCAGAGACACTGTGTCTGAGTGGTTCTTAGGTCCAGGAACTGGGCATTTTGTCTTTTCTAGAAAGGGTTGCACTGCTTCTGAAGGAATAGGTATGCTGTTGAGGATATTGGGAGCACCTTTGCACATGGAGGCCCAAATCTCCTCTGTGGCAAAGAGTGCCTATCACCAGCTTCAGATGGTACATGAACTGTGACATTTCCTGGGTGGGTGCCACCATCACTCATACGCTGGCAATCTTGTTCAGAGAAAATGGCAGCCATCAGAGCAACCAAGGTGAATGTCTGGCCCGAAACCTGGTCTGAACCCAGATTGGAATGGGTCCAAATCAATTTCCTCCAAAAGTTCCTGCAGCTGAACCACCACTCCCCTCTTGAGCACCTTGCCCAAAAAGGAGATCTTAGTGACCAATCAGTAGTTGTCAGGTTCCTCAGACTCCAGGAATCATGTTTTCCTTCAAAGTGGCAGGGACCATCCCCTCATACAAAGATGCATTAACCATCGCCTGGATCCACATGGTCACACACACCCTGCCAGCCTGCATGAACAAACCAGGATGGGAAAGAGATGAAAGAGCAAGTACTGTGACTACAGTGTGCTTCGAAAGCACTGTGGCTTTCCTTTTCTGCGTATAGTTGGAGGGAAATTCCTGCCTTGAAAGAAAGAAAGAAAAAAGTCTCTTTTAGCCCATGATGGGCAATTTTCTGGATTGCTCCAATAATTTCACAAGAGTCTTCAAACTTAGTTTGATCGAAGGGACTTGGCAGAAATGCCACTTTAACTGTAGCAGGTTTCGTGCTTCTACCTGAGCTGATAATCTGCTCCAGCATCTTAATTTATATAAGGTTCTAATTCCTCCAGGTACCATACTACTCTAACCCTTGTGAGGGTGAAACAGAGTGAGGGAGGTTTATATACTGTCCGAGCATTCCATGAAGATGACTTGAAAGAGCTCTCCTTCACCTTACAGATTAATGGTGAGCAGATTTCTTTGCAAAAATTTATCTTGCACTAGGAAATTATTTATCAACCCAGCTCATTTAAACAAAAGCAGCACAAATGTTAAGGGCAGGGAATAAGCATTGTCCCACTGCCAAAAGGATTGACACTGCACTCACTTCTGTACCACTGAACAAATGAGTCTCTTTTCTTTTCTTTTCTTTTTGCAAATATGCTTTATTGTTTTGAAGTACAAATACAAACAAAGCCATACCACAGTAAACAAACAAAAACCAATTGTAGGGAACAGCATTGATGACAGGCGCACCAATAAAATCAGAGTGGTGCATATTTCACATCCCTGGCTCCCTCCCACTGCGCTGCAGACCTTGCCAAAGACTCACATGCAAAACTGGAGGATTAACGGAATGCAGGTTTCTATTCACAGAGCTTAGGAAAGGAAAACGTACTTTGCCAGGCTGTTCATGTTTTGTCAAGTCTCTGACCACTTTGCTGTACTGTATTAAGCACTCAGAAAGAGTGGGTACATTTTTCATGCAAAGGTTACATCTGTGCTCATGTTTACTCTGGCATTTACTCTGCCACCACATGTGGCATCCATACATGTGGAGTTTTAGCATGCTTGCAATCAGCAGTGCAGTTGTGTATGGCAGTACTGTGTCAGTGTCGCACATGAATGGGCCTGCCCATGTGACAGGTGCTTTTTAACATGGCAGGCCAAACATTCTAGAATGTTTTCATAGGTAAGTCCAGGCCACTCTCTCTTGGCCCTCTCATTCTGCTCTCTTTTTCACGGTGTGCTTGCTAAGTCCATAAGAATTGCTTTGCTGGATCAATAGAGAGCAAAAACCCTTGCAGATAACTTCGCCTCGGGACTTCAGAGACAAACACCCCATGGGAATCTTTGCTTCACTCCTGCGACAGAGGATGCAAGGACAAAGTTCTCCACACAGGTAAGCAAGGAAAGGGAAGCGCATGCCTCAAAGTACAAATTCTGCACATGACATGACATGACATGACATACCATGTTCCCAATTCCTCACAATGTTGGAAACTTCATATTGGTAAACAACCCTTCCCAGCAGCAGTATAGAGACATATCTAGTGGGATCGAGCTGTGGAGCCATACCTGCAATGCCAGCATTACTGCAGCATATCTGGGCAGGCCTATGACAAGTCAAGATGACAGTGAGGTTAGGGCCATATGGATGTCCTGGTGGAAGTAATGGAATGCTGGTAGCAGTCCCACCAGTGCCAACATGGTCCTAATCTCTCCACTATCTCAGATAAGCAGTGTTGGGAGGGTGGCTGCACCCCACCTCACCCATTGCCACTGCTCAGCAGATAGCAGAAATTTATCCCACACAGGACACACAGCATAAATAGGGAGGAATAACTACATCAGACACCTTGAAGGCAGCAGAAAGCACAGCTATTTCTGCTGGAGAAAACCAAGCACTCATTTCAACCACTGCGGCAGCTGCTTCTGGCCAAAAACACATGACCTCTTTTTCTTTGCAGGATCAGGACTTGGCACATGAAGAGGAATAAACAGTATCAGCAGCCAGAATTCCACTACAGCTCCCCTACATGGGATAGGTGAGTTTTGTTTCTGTGACCATTTACAGATGAGTCTCTGAATGCAGGTGTCAGGCATCTCCAGGCTGGGGGGGCGGGTGGGTCTGAGGCACGGGACGTGGAAGAGCACTAAGGTTAAAGCATTTTGTTTTCATCACTTGCTCACAACCACCTGCTGAGCATCTGGCTATCATAGCTATTGACCATTACTCATCACTGCCCCTGTGTCTCTCTTTCCAAGGTAACCCTCCAAAAGGTGCAGATGCAAGTCTGGTTCCAAGTCCAGCAGAATGTGGCCTGTGATCGAGGCCTGCAGCAAGACCTGCCACAACAACGGCTGCCAGAGTGAATGCAATTGTTTCCACATGGGATTACCATCATTTGCTTTCACAGTGTTCCTGTACCTGTGCAAGCTGCTTCACAGACAGCCATGTAGCAGGTGCAGGCATACTCTAGATTGCGGATGCAGTAACAGCGAAATATGTTCCCGGTACTCTGTTGTGTGTCATGCAGCTTTCAAAGGCCTAGGAGCCCTGCTGGGACAAGAAAGTTGGGAACCCCATGTGCCCATCTTAATTTCTGAACCTATTCTCCCATTGTGGCTGTTCAATAAAAATTTGCTTGTTGACAACTGTTTCTGTGTGATAATAACGCAAAGCGGAAAGGGATTTCCCTCCCCACACACCTGTACCCACCTTCACAATGGAGCTCCTAGTGGCAGGAATGAAGCACTTTTGGCCCTCCAGATGTTCCTGGGAGGATTGTAACTTCTATCATTCCTGGCCACTGCTGATGGGAGCAGGAGTTCAGCAACAACATATTGAGTGCCACAAGTTCCTCATCCCTAGCCTAAAGCATTAAACACTCCCACATCCCACCAGAGCTCAGGTTATGCATTGTATTCAGCTTCTGAATGGAGAGATGTAGAAAGCTGAGTCCCCTAAAGATCAGTATTGGGACCTGTGCTTTTTAATGTGTTATAAATGATCTGGGGATAGGGGTGAGCAATGAGGTGACCAGGTTTGCTGGTGATACTAAATGGTTTGTGGTCATTAAAACAAAAAAATTGTGAAGAGCTCCAAAAGGACCTCTCCAAAGTGAGTGAAAAGGTGTTAAAATGGCAAATGGAATTCAGCATAAGCAAGTATAAAGTGATGCATGTTGGAGCAAAAAATCTTAATTTCACAAATATGCTCATGGAATCTAAATGGGCAGTGACTGACCTTGGAAGTCATAGCAGATAGCTCAATGAACATGCCAAACCAGTGTGTGGCAGCTGTGAAAAAGGCAAATTCCTTGCTCGGGATCTTTAGGAAAGGAATTGAAAATGAAGCTGCAGATATCATAATGCCGTTATACAAATCTATGCTGTGATTGCATTTGGAATACCGTGTACCGTTCTGGCTGCCTCACCTCAAAAAACAAAATATGTTGTAGATAGGACTCGAAAACGGTTCAGCAAAGGGCAACCAAAACGATGAAAGGGATGGAGCAGCACTCCTATGAGAAAAGATTGTAGCATTTGGGACTTTTTGGTTTAGAGAACAGGTGAGTCAGAGGTGACACAATAGAAGTTTATTAAGTGATGCATTGCATGGAGAAAGTGGATAGAGATCTTTTCCCCATCCCTCTCTCATAATAGAACTCATGGACATGCAATGAAGCCGAATGCTGGCAGTTTACTTCTTCACACAGCACATAGTTCAACTATGGAACTCTCCCAGGAGGCAGTGATGGCCACCAACCCTAGCCACAATGCCTATGTTCTACCTTCATTGTCAGAGGCCTTATGCCTCTGAATACCAGTTGCTGGAAATTGCATGCGGACAGACTGCTTGCAGGTTTCCATGGGCATCTAGTTGGCCACTGTGGGAACAGGATGCTGGACTATATGAGCCATTGGCCTCATCCAGCAGGCTGGTCTTATGTTCTCTAGCAAAAGGACAGCATCCTGGTATCTCACCATCTCCCTGGTGAACTATACAATCAGACTGTGTGAAGATTCTGCTACATTAGTCAAAATACAGCATTATAAATACTTTATAACACTGTGGCACCGGATGGTGCTGTAGAGCTGAAATCGCAACTCAATGATATTTTCAATTGTGAGCTTTACAATGTTTTTTTCTTTGGCTTTTTTTTTTTTTGCAGATTGTTTTCAGAGCATTTTTTGTGTAGGTGTGTAGAATTCAGGGGTCAGCAAGGTTTATCTTGCCTGGGCCAGATCGGTCCCGTGGAGATCCCTCTGTGGGCTGGATTGCATGTGCGCCTGCGATTTTCGGCATCTGCATCTGTGCAGACGCAATTTTCAGTGCCATGGAAGCGAGTCCCCGCGCCGTGCTGCGCCTGTTTAGCGCAGCGAGTGAGCGGGCAATTCAGTTCAGGAACAGCTCATTGGCCGGTCAAACAACCTCCGCAGGCCGCTTCCGGCCCATGGGCCTTAGGTTCCTGACCCCTGGTGTAGATCTAGCCTGAAATGAAGGCTGGAGGGGCAGATGCATAACAAGATCTGCTGGAGCAATAAGCAGCAGACTGGAAAACCACATGTGGGTGAATAGGATCAAGGAGGTGGGAAGGTTGGCAAGCATCCACAAGTCAGTCCATGGAATAACTTCCTCTGACTGGCTATGGTGCTTTGCTGTTCTAGCCTCTGACCTCCCAGCCTGTTCTACCACGTGACCACATGTAGGCTTTGAACCTGGGATCTAATGTGTGTTAAACCTGCATGGTGTACAGGGCAACAGTTCCATCTGGTGGCTCCTAAGGCTTGTGTATATGACTAGATTCAAGGGTTGGGCAGCTGGAAGGTCACAAATGTCCTATGATGGGTGCTGCTCTGTTTGTTCTCTCTGAAAGTGCACAGGATCACAACTATATACTGACACACACACCAGCATTAGCAACCTACAGTGCAGCAAAAGCACAGGATTTCTCTGTAACCAGTTGACTCACAAGAGCATCACAATTGTTAGGGCGATTTTCAATGAGTTTGAGCCCTGAAATTCAGCACACATGTAAATGCCCTGATTATTAGGATGGGAAATCAGGAAATGGAATGTTTATATATACACCATCAAAATTAGGGACTCAAATTGGACTACTATGTTTCTGATTCTGAGTATTTATCAATAATAGTATCATTTGTAATACAAATGTTTCTTTCTGGTGGCAGAGGTAGGGGTCTGTTTTCTGAGAATTGTTTATTCCAACCACCTCCTTCCTACCTTTTAAGCAACTCCTTGTTCTCTTGTGTTCTTTCCTCCAATATAACCAGTACCAGCAAAGGTGACCCATTTGAGAGAGGACAGCAACACGACCAGTGGGGAGCAAACAGTGACCTGCATCACAGAAGGAATGCCCCAGCCAGAGGTTGTCTGGTATACCTGCAATAATGCCAAATGGTAAGGAGATCACTTCTGAAGGGCCTGTTTGGGACATTTGTGCTTGGGACTTCTAGTAGCATGGGATGGAATTAAAATATGATGGAATAGGAGCATCAATAACTGTATAATACAGAGAATGGATTCCATTAGGCATGCTACTCATCAAAGGATTGAAATAAGTGCATGGCAGATGGGGTCTGCAACATAATGTTGCAATATTTCTCACCTCCTGTTTGGATGGAATACTCTTCCTTTCCAGTGCTCCAGGCAGCCAGATCCTTCTCTATCAGTTTATTCCATCACCTCTTGCTTGCTTCATTTTTCTTTTCCAAGTGATAGCCAACATTCTGTGAGTACTGATCATGCTCAGATCTTATTAGGCTGTTTTTGTTTTACTATGCCCCATTACAGGTTTTTTAAAAAAGTATTTTTTACTTCTGCAAACCTCGCCTAAGCCTGTCAGTACACCTCTCTCTTCTTTATCAGTTTTGGCTACAACACCTGACTCCCCTATTAAAAGGATTAATAGCTTTTAATAGCTTCCAGTGACCATGCTTTTCATATAGCTATTTTCACAGTTTCAGCACTCCAAATATTTTGAACTTGAATTATATACATACATAATTTTATTTGTATGCTGCCTTTCCATAGTTCAAACCATGTTCAAGGAGGCTTACAACAAGGGAAAAATACATAATTACAATGTAACAAAAGTAGTAATAAACAATAAATAAAACATCAAAAAGTATACAACCAAACTGAACACATAAATCTTTAATATTTAAAATATAGATACAAAAAAATTGTGTCAATAATAGCAGCAAGAACACCCCCATAAAACCCTCAAACAATACCCTATCCAAGAGTCTGTTCAGCAGCCTCAGCTTTTGTAGCTGGAGTCAGTCAAGGCCAGGTGGAAAAGGCCTGCAAGGCAGGGAGCAGGTTTTCTGTGGCTCACAGCCAAGATCAGGGGTCAGCAAGGTTTACCTCAACTGGGCTGGTTCACTCCCACGGAGATCACTCCGTGGGCTGCATCGCATCTGCGCAGACGTGATTCCAGCACCGCGGAAGTGAGTCCCCACTCCATGCTGCGCCGGTTTAGCGCAGCGCTCGGAGACTCACTGAGTGGGCAGCTCGGGGGCCATTTAAATGACCCCTGTGGGCCGCTTGTGGCCCATGAGCCGCAGGTTGCCGACCCCTGGCCAAGATGGTCTTAGGCCTCTTCAGTTTGCAGATCAACCCCAATAAAAATGTTGTATTGCATTAAAATCCTGCCTTCCCTCCCTCATGGAACTCATGGTGGTGCACATGGGGTTCTAAGTGATCACTGACCAGATGCAGGTTCAGCAAGGGGGCTGCATCATGTACTTTCAGGGTCATACTCGATGTTGCACTGACTGTCTCCAACTAGACCTAGCATACAATCCTGTACAAACTTACTTTTAAGTAAGCAGGCACAGGACTGGGTTGCAGCAGTTCAAATGGACCGTGAATGAATCAAACATCTGAAGAAGCTGGGCTGTCTTCCATTGGCTGATTATCTTCAACAACAGGTGTGATGCAGAAGCCACCAAAACCCTGGTGAATGCCTCTGAAGAGATGGTTCTGGAAACAAACACCACCTACCGAGATGATATGAGGATTTACATCGTGACAAGCAAGCTGCACCTCCACAGAGTAGATGAGCCGGTCTTCCTCAGTTGTGCTACTCAAAACCTCTTGGGCACGGATACTCAGAACATCACCTTGGTCCCAGACAGTGAGTTCCACAGCATGTCTTGTATAATACGTGTGTGTGCGCGCACACACAGCAATGTTTATTTCAGCGTAGGATTGTAGGAACATCGTCATGTCCTCGACTTACGCCATATGTCCCTTCTTATATTCCTAGAATTATATGGCAGTGTTTAAATTAATTCACAGGAGCACAAGTTATAGAGGCACAGTAAGAGAAAACGAAGAGGCATAGTTCCAAAAGCAGATGGTGTTAAGTGAGTGAGAAAATACTGAACAGGGAAGCATGAATGTGATAAATGCATAGCCTAGCTTCTCCTACAGGTTCAGTGCCTGCAAAGTTTGACACCACCATTCCTTTTGACTGCAGTTATCCTCTGTGTGCCCCAAACCATAAAAGGTTTGAGAAAGGCAAAGGGGATGGAAGTGTACAATCTTTTCAAATGTTTGTTTTCTCCGCCCCCCCCCTTCAATCCCTCACAGGTATATACAGAGTCAGGCTAATAGTGCATTTAGTTCAACATTGTTTACTCACAGTCTCACCCCGGGGTTTCAGGCAGGAGCCTTTCCAAGGCATGCCAGGAATTGAACCTGGGACCTTTCACGTGCAAACCATGAGTTCTGCCATGGAGCTACAGTCCTTCCCATACCAGATAAGGCAGTAAAGCAACCAGCAACATACTGCAACATTGCATTGTGTTTCTCAATCCTTTGCTGTTCTCTGTGGCTCTATACAGCTATGGCTTCTTTGGCTTCTTTGTTGTGTGATCACCACAACCCTATATGAGCTGCTTTACAAAACTCTGAAGGAGACCAACGATGCAAGCTGAGCAATGAAGTTGAGTATGTGACAAAACAGTCAATGCGATTGTTTTGGCACATGCCCACATCCTAGTTATTCTTAATGTTCAATGATAATATACCACACTACTGCAGAGACTGATGAGAAGTAGCAGAGATGTCAGCCTGTGTTGAGAAATGGGGATTTGGGCATATGGTGGTGAGTCAGTCACACAAGACACTCCTCTTGCTCTTGAAGACACGCCTGTTTAGAAAAGCACCAATGCATGCAGAGGAAAAAGCAAAATAACCACTTAGGGCTTGAAGATGTATATGCTCAGATGTACATGCAGGGCAGAGGTTCTTTTCAGACCTTTTTATGAATGCATAGAGGTCAGGCACCTGCAGTCCCATTCCACCTCTCTTTCATGTTGGTTTTTTAAAAAAATAATGTCCATAATGGTGTCTTGTTGTGATCATAGTAGGACCCCACAGATTATGACAGATATCTGAGGTGGCTTCCCATTATATATAAATAGTATCTGGCAGGAGTTGCAGGACCTTGGATAGCTCCAAGCAGGTAATTTACACTGATAAAAGTCCTGTTTGGGCATTTGCTTGGATATATGGGGTTGAAGTCAACTAATGTTTACTCAGAGTAGACCCACTGAAATGAATGGCCATGACTAACTTAAGCCTGTTGAGTAAAAAGATAGTTGACTCCAACCTTCTTCAGAATCAGACACACACAAGACCCACCTTCAAATGTCCCTGAGTGTCCCAGCACTGCCCACTCAGTTCTCGACGTTTCCCTGTTGAGTGGGGAAGGTTTACAGGTTTGCTGATGGTTTCTGGTTTTAATATGAGGTGAGCCTCTGGCAGTGTGTGTGCATTTTTGTTTTTTAAACAATGGCATATTCTTTTTATTTCTCTTAGTGTAAGCACCTCTAGCTGAAAAGTGGCTTTAAAATATACATCTGAGCAAATCGGTATTCTCCTAATTAGAATGGGACCTTATGTTTCTGTATACATTTAATGTTTCAGATTTGCCCTTTAAAGTGATAATCATCTCAGTTATCCTGGCCTTGCTGGTGCTCATGTTTATTTTCCTAGTGATCCTCGTTGCTGTGTGGCGAAAGGTAAGAGCATGCTTGACTCTTTTCAGTGTCTCAGTAAAAGTCCTATAGCGAGCCTGGTAGTGATATTATTTCCCTACTGTTAAGCCTTTTTTGAAAGAATGAGTTCAAAAATTTGGAAAAGGGCCTGAAGGACTAGGGGACAGATTCCTGACCCAAACCCCAGAGATCTTTTGGCAGTCAGTGTAGAAAATATTGAACCAGACGGACTAATAGTCTGACTTGGTGCAAGGCAGCTTTCTATGTTCCTATGCCCTTGATTGGTTGGCTGAGCAACCATGAAGCTTTAGCTATTCAGCTACAGGGAACCTCAGAAATCTAGTGGTAATAGTTGATAGGCTGAAGCAGTTAGTTACCACTATGAACTGTCAGTAGGCAAGGATTTAGGCATGTGCATCTAGAATAAGCCTGGAATATAAATAAGGAATTATTCCCAGAAAATCCACTAATGTCTGTGGGAGAATCTTACTCACCAGAACTAGTAGGAGACACACAATATATTTTCCAGATTGTAAAACAATTTCCCCTCATTATGAATTGCCAACTTATTTTTAAAAAACAAAAAAATACCACCAGTTAGTAAAAATGGAAGGTTTCAGGAACCAAATGGCCATTTGGAAATTTGGGGGAGCACTTCTTTTTGATAAGATGATAAATAACAATGGAAGTGTGGCTGCTTTCATGTGGCTGTTCCATGGTGGGCAGGTGGATAAAGCTATAGAACAATTCAGGATGGCTGTGCCCACTTAAGCCTCATTGATTTCAACAAGAATTAGGTGTGCATAATTCTGTGGTCACTGTGTTCATAATGTCATCACATCACTTGATTAGCCTTCCTGGAGAGGCAGAAACCATCCCTCAGATAGAGGTCTTGATATGTGGAGATTGGGGAGATGTGTGGATGTGCTTACTGAAAACTACATGGACACCTAATCTTCCCAGGCTTCCTGGATACCAACACAGCACAGTCCTTTCTAACACCTTCCTTTCCCTTTCCTTAGAAGCCTCGCTATGAAATCCGCTGGAAGGTGATTGAATCAGTCAGCTCTGATGGACATGAATATATCTATGTGGACCCCATGCAGCTTCCATATGACTCCAGCTGGGAGGTTCCCAGAGACAAGCTTGTGCTAGGTGAGGGGAAGAGGATGGGAAAGGATTCATGCTTAAATGGTTAGTGCCACTAAGCAGAAGAAGGGCAGATCTGTTCCAGGACTACTACCTCCATGTCTTGCTTGGACTACAACTTCCAATACTACAGGAGATGAGGAATAATTTTGTAGTCCCTCGTAGAGCCACCTTCTGCAGTCCTCTGCATTTGGATACTGGAGGGTAGTACACAGAAAAAGCACTTCAAATTTCCATAGCAGAATTCAATAGCTTCAGCACTAACTCAACTTCCAGGTAGACAATGCACCACTAGGGGGAACCAGAAAGCTGTGGCATGCTATTGCAACACTTGTTCAGCAATATCATTAATTTGCAAGTTGCTCCTGTCTTAGAAGGAGCAGTGCAGAAAGACTCCAGCCATGCAGAGAAGAGGAAGCAGCGCCATACAACAGTGGCTGGGGTGTGATCAGCAAATGCACTAATGGGGATCGGTTCCCAATCATACTGAGGCCACTAGGCACATATTCTCATAATCAGAGAATATGTAAAGAGATAAGCAGCTAGGAATGAGATGCTGTGGAATTTGCAATAAATTCCCCACCTAGCGGTCCCAAGTAGAATGCATCCAAGAAGAACGCGTGACTAGCGCAGGAGTCTTATCGGTCATGCGGAAACTATCTCTTGCCCAGACATCATAACTCCCAACTTTAGTCATTCCCCAGTGGAATAACTCATGCTGTCCAATCGTTTAAGTAAAGAGCTGAACATTTTCCATGCAGCTGTTCTGCGGACTCCTCCCATTACTGTTAATAGCTGGAAAGTCCTAAAGTTATGGTTTTCTTATGTTGTTCCTGATGGAGAATATGCCTTCATCTTCCTGCTGCAGGACGCACACTGGGCTCCGGGGCCTTTGGGCGTGTGGTGGAAGCAATAGCCCACAGCCTGAGCCACTCACAGTCTACCATGAGAGTTGCTGTGAAAATGCTTAAGTGTGAGTTTGGAATCTTCTCTCCCCCTTGCTGCCAAGTGTTTGCACCCCCTTTCCATGCACCTTGTCTTTCTAATATATTTTCACCATCTTCTGCCTGTGTCTTCAGTGTTCACTGGCCTTGCTCATGTGACACGCATAAAAGCATGCCATTAAGCAAACTGTTTCCCCAAAGAAAAAATACATAGTAACCTTTAGCCATTTCCTGAATCCAAGGTGATGTGAAATCACTTGTGGTTTGTGGCTTGCTTATGTGGTAGCCACAATATAACAGTCCACAGTATGAAATACAGCCACATGGAAATCTACTTTTTGGTAGTGGCCAGGTGAGGTGAGTAATGTCTGGATCATACTGCAATCTATGCTCACCTGGATGTAATCTTCTTTGAACCCAATACTTCTGAGTAGTCACATAAAGGATTGTGCTGTCAGCCTTCAAGTGTACAATCCAGAGGAGGCTTCCCCTTACCTGTTGTCACCTGTTGTCTCTTTCTTCCCACTTCTGATCATCTTTCTGTGTCTATCCGATGTTAACATTTTTCTGAAGATGGAAGTGTCTAGAGCACTCCCTCCCCCCTTGTACTTCTAAGCTGCTGTTCTGCATTTCATAATTTGATCCACCCATCTTCCAGCTACTGCCAGAAGCAGTGAGAAGCAGGCGCTAATGTCGGAACTGAAGATCATGAGTCACCTTGGGCCTCATCTGAACATTGTCAACCTGCTTGGAGCCTGCACCAAAGGAGGTACCAGTGTCACGACTGTGTTCTTGTGCCCTTGCCTTTCTCTTCCTCTCCATGCACATTGAAACATTTATCATTAATAGGTCTTAACCTGAGAAAGTAACAAACCTGCATTGGGGCAAGGAGAGTCAGGAGGGTCTCATGCTTTGCTGTTCCATCAGCTAAAGTGCTGTTCCATGTGGTTGTTTTCCAGCAGGCGAGGAAAACCTGCCAATTGCCCTGTCACTATCCAAACCTCCATGTTATGGAACTGAAAGAAAAAGGTTCACCCACCCTCTCCACCTTTTTATTTTAGACTGCCCACCAGAATGATAGCCCCCCCCCTCCGCTGCCCCCCGTTGTGCACTTTTAATGGGTCCATTGTTATTTTGCCCTGATACTTTTAATCATTCCATTATTTTCAAACCCACATTTTCCCGTTCCCCCCCCTAGGCCTTTAGTGCTATAGAGACTGATCTCATAACAAGACAAGTTAGACACAGTAGGGGAGGGGCAGCATATAGCTGGAAGCAAAACAGTTATTTTGATACAATGCGTAGTCCTTCCACACTTCCTGTTGCAGCTTTATGACAGCATTGTCACATTTTCCCCATTTTCAAAGCACTAAGTATCACACCCATCAACTGCTACAGCTGCCAGTAGATGCTTGCATGCCTTTCTTTTTGGCAGTCCCAGATTCTCTCCCCTAGAGAATGCTCTGTCCCATTTGTACCCACAGATATTTAATACATGACACTTACAGAAATGATTAGTTGTTTGGCCAGCCGGCCTGCATACTTACGAACATGGACCAGTGCTAGTGGAGGTCCGCACAACAACTTGTGCACACATCTATGCAATTCCTCAGAAAATGCCTCTACTTAATCTAAATAAATGAAAGCAGAAAGTGTGAAATGTAAATGCAAACAGGCAGCCTTGAGCAACAAAAGGCCTGGTTCGCACACTAACCTAGCACGGGATCCGTGCTGTGTGGTCAAATAGCTGGCAGGAGGCAACATGCAACGCAAGTGCTTCCGAGGGAGCACTTGCTTTAAAACATGTGGAGACAAAGCAAGCAATGTTGCTTTCAACTCTGACAAAGAGATAATGCACACACACCTAGTTTTCACACTTGGGTGGTAAAATCTATGTCTAGCTGCACCACTGCCAGCAGGGATTCACATAACAGAATATCCCTCCTGGCATGCATGTTTTCAATGCAGAGGGCTGGCTGTTGTTGTTGTTTGTAGAAGCATTCAGCAACATGAGCCCCTTGCAGTCTGAAGTGGATTACCATTTCTGTAAGGCCACAATTGCCCTATTCTCGAGTCATATTCAAGGAAAGCAATACTCCTACCTGGATGGCTAGAGCTGTTCTTCTCCTCTGCAGGCCCTATCTACATCATAACAGAGTACTGTCGCTATGGAGACCTGGTGGACTACTTGCACAGGAACAAGCACACCTTCCTGCAGTGCTGCAGTGAGAAAGCCAAGCAGGAAGCAGAGGTGTATGGGAATGCCCCCACTGAGGACAGGGTGCAGAGGTACCTGCTGTTTGACACTCTCCCCTCTCTTTAGTGCACGCTATCTACATTCACTACATGCATGCTTTCTATTCCATCACCATCTACATACAGGAGTGTGGCCTTTCTGAAACGGAAACCTGTGAATTATAGCATCTCTGTAAACAAGTTTAAAGGATAGCAAATTCAGCACAGAGCTGGCTTTCCCTTGCGTTTGCGTGTGTGCTTATTTTAGTTCTACATTTCTAAGGCGGACTGTTTTGCAATCGGTATCAAGGGAGTTGACATCTAGATTCCAGTACAGTTTTGCCCGAGTTGTTTGTTTTGCTCAAAGAGGATTTACATAAGCATTTCCCTCAGTCATGGGGCTGACATTTGGAATCGCCCCAAGGTGAGAGCCCCCTGGAACTCAGTTGCATGTAACAAAGATCCATATGCATTTGCCCCACATGTGACTCTTTACTACTTAATTCACTCCATTGAGATTATCATGAATTGCAGCACGTAGAAAATCAAAGGCCAACTGTTGATCCCATTCCAGATGTGCAAGGAATATTTTAGCAGAACAATGCAGATGGTTGAAGCAATTCCCTCAAGCCAAACTAAAAAATAAAATAAAACAATGCCCACTAAGGAAGGGACATTCTTCAGGAAGATTCTTGTTGTTGTTTAGTTGTGTCTGACTCTTCGTGACCCCATGGACCTGAGCATGCCAGACACTTCTGTCTTCCACTGCCTCCCGCAGTTTGGTCAAACTCATGCTGGTACCTTCGAGAACACTGTCTAACCATCTCGTCCTCTGTCGTCCCCTTCCCAACATCAGGGTCTTTTCCAGGGAGTCTTCTCTTCTCATGAGATGGCCAAAGTATTGGAGCCTCAGCTTCAGGATCTGTAATTCCAGTGAGCACTCAGGGCTGATTTCCTTCAGAAGGGATACGTTTGATCTTCTTGCAGTCCATGGGACTCTCAAGAGTCTTCTCCAGCACCATAATTCAAAAGCATCAATTCTTCGGCGATCAGCCTTCTTTATGGTCCAGCTCTCACTTCCATGCATCACTACTGGGAAAACCATAGCTTTAACTATACGGACCTTTGTTGGCAAGGTGATGTCTCTGCTTTTTAAGATTCTTACATGGTCTAAATAAACTTCTCCCCTCTTTGCAGCCATGTTTCCTTATCTGTGGAAAGTGATGGGGGCTACATGGATATGAGCAAGGATGAGTCATTGGATTATGTGCCCATGTCAGTGCCCATGTCAGATATGAAGGGTGAAATCAAGTACGTGGACATTGATGCCTCCAATTATGGTACTACCTATGAGCTGGACAGCTATTCGCCATCCGGTAAGAGAATTGACAGAGACAGGCTGCATGCATGGGTGTCCAGTCATACCAATGTGAAACAGTTTAATTGCTTCAAAATCCAATATGCAGAACTGAAGGTGTTGTCTGTGTCATCCTTAAATTGTATTTTCATTGTCAGGAGAAGTAAGCATCTAATATTACTCCTGATATCTCTTGGTCCCATGTTTTAGCAAGGCTTTTATTGTGTGGGTTTAGGTGTAGTTAGACCTGTGTGATGTCTGATTGTATCTCTGCTCTTTGTTTTCAGCTTCTGAAAAGGTGGCGTTGATAAATGAGTCTCCTCTCCTCAGCTATGTGGATCTTGTTGGAATTAGTTTTCAGGTTGCCAATGGAATGGAGTTCCTAGCTTCCAAAAATGCAAGTACTTTTTATATGCAGAATGATACAATAATACCTAGGGGTGACTGGTTTCAAAGTCTTTTTGGGCATGCCTGTGGAATATGAAATTAATGGAAGCAGGTAGAGGGGTTTAGGATCAGCTATCTTTAGTACATTTCATTATAAACAGAGACAGGATGTTTGAGTCATGTGGTACTAGCCATCCTTTAGACATTGCTGCTTCTTCCTTTTTCTGGGGAACAGGCAATATTATCTCATTACATGAGGGTGCGGACCAGAGACATGACACAGTGAAGGTACACTGCACATCATGAAGTTAATTCATTTATTCATTCAGGTAATTTCTATCCCACTTACATTTTTAGTAAAACCTCTTCAGCGGTTTATAATATAATGAAATATGAGTGAATAAACTTATTATGATGCAATGATATGCAGTCTAGCTTCACTGTAAAATCAAAAGTATTTTTTACACACACACAAAAAAATCCATCTCTTCTGGAGATATCTCACATGCTCTGTGACATCTTGCCAGAAGCCATCACTGCTTCTCCACTGGCAGCAGAGGCAGCAGAATGGGCAGGGCATCTATGGGGGCATTGCTTCTTAGGCTTCTGCTGCCTGAGGCAGCTTCCTCACCTCACCTCATAGAGGTGCTGGCCATGTTGATATGACTTGTAGTAGGGAAGGTACCCTGGCACTAAGCTGTTTAGGGCTTTATAAATCAGTAGTATCTCTTCTTGGCTCAAGGCAGACCAGAGTTTAGTCATGCAATACTCAGTCCCTATTTCAGGTCTTTTCGGTGCTAATATGGACTATGGAGATACCATTAAAAATGCATCTGCCAGTACTATTCCTGAAAGTAATCCTCCTCCATGCTGAGGAAGTTACCTTCCCCATTTCAATGTAGAAATCATTGTTCATGTAAGACTGCTTAAAAAAAAATGGTCTAAGTTAAGGTGACTCAAGTTCTGTACCAAGAAAACCTACATTTTGTGACTGGTATAAATTTTACAAGTTAATAAATTCATGTATATTTTCCATGGTTTATTTTGGTTCTCGTAGTCATGGGGGAAGGGGGAAAGCAAAAAGCTATGCAGCCACTGCAGTCCCACCTCCTGGCCAATGCAAATACTGCTTTGTTCCCTTACTGGTTTCTGCAATTTCTATATACTTCCTCTGACTCTTTGAGGGCTAAACTTACTTTAAAATTGAAAGAAAGAAAGAAAGAAAGAAAGAAAGAAAGAAAGAAAGACCAAGGCTCTCAAGGTGATTAATTGCATTGCCAGTCTGAATATATGCCCTTGTGATGTATAGTCACGCACTAAACACAGCCCCCACCTACGTGGCATAAGCATGCATTGGGCCGCCCTTAGACAATGTAAGTATTCTTAAAGCTGCATTGCAAAGTAATGTTTGCTGCCACAGACAAACACAATTGCCATTTCACTGGGATAACTTCAGACTGTAAATCACCCAACGGCATTTCAGTGATGCTGTATTATTTTTGATCCTTGCTGAGTCATCCTTTTCACAGAAGGTATTTTTAAAAAACAACAACTGGGAAAAGGAAGCATGGGGAAAGTGGTCAAACTCGTGCAGACCAAGTTACTGCTAAGAGTTACCACACCTAAGCCCTGTGGTTATTTCCCAGAGAGCATTCCCGCAAGCCACAGTTGTTCTGAAACATTACACATACAACACAAATGCCACAGGCTATTAATGGTACCGCAGGTAAGCATACTGAAGCAGTGCTAATCTAAAGGCTTTTGTTAGGAAACAGACTTAAGCAAGAGAATGGAGAAGTGAAAATGGCAAGACAATTGCATGCAAGAAAGGTGTCATCCTTCATGAGAGGTTCTGTTCAGCAATGAACTCTGAGACTAAAAGCACAAAGGTTCAAGAAAACACAGTTGATTAATTCCACAATGTTAGATTCTCAGGCTGTGTACAATTATTATTCCTTTGCAACCATCATCATATATAATGTGGAGAGCATATTTTCACTGCTTTCCTGCTCTGATTCCTAAACTGCAATTTCTTGCCTATGTCCCGGGTAGGAAAGGTAAATTTGGTTCAGTTTGCATTTCAGGGCAAATCTACCCAATCTGCACTTCCTACAACAATGTGTGAACCTCAACACAGCCACCCTTCAAAATTCAAAATTCACAGAATTCACAAAGTAATGTATACAAAAATACTAAGGGAAGATGTGCATAAAAATGCATATATCAGTGAAAGTAGCAAACACTTAAAAAAAATAAATCACAAGTTGATGTGGAAATGTGGAGAACTAAATTTAAGATTGGAAAAATGAGAAATGGGGAAAAAACACCCCAGGCAAATCAAAGGTTAGAGTAGGGGTAGTCAACCTTTTTATACCTACTGCGCACTAATGCATCTTTCTTGATGGTAAAATTTCCTTACCGCCCACCAGTGCTCGATGGAAGGAGGATTCAGCTTGTGCCGTAGAACCCCCAACCGCCCACCTAGAATCCTGAAAGTGGGTGGTAGGGACCAGGTTGACAACCCCTGGGTTAGAGTGTGATGCTGATAATGGCAAGGTTGCAGGTTGCAGGTTCGATCCCCATATGGGACAGCTGCCTATTCCTGCACTGTAATTCTATAATTCTATGATTCTATGACAGTCGTCAAGGGACACTACAAAAAGAAAATGTTCTGAACACCAGGCCTTACACCCCCTCTTCCCGCTTTGTAAAGCAGTTGGCTATGCATTTGCATTTCCACATCATTAATAAAGCAGCTCAAAACCTGTCTCAGTCATTTTAAAATATGTGTGTCTTCTGCATTAGAGCTGATTGCATTCAGGTTTTTCAGGGTCTTACTTGAAGCACTACAAAACCCTGCAAAACTAGAAACTGCAGCCTGACAGGAGAAGAAAAGCCCCACAGGCAATAGCAGGGATGAAATAACACCAGACTGGCAGAGACTTCAACACTGGCGATGGGACTGTGTCCTCTACATCTGAGGACAGCATGCTAGCTTAAGAGGTGTAGGGCAGGCTACATGGAACACACACAGTTTTGTTGTCTGTCACCTCACTGCTGCTTAGTATCTGCCACCTGAGATCTGCCTAATGGAAGGGATGGTCCTCAAAGTCTGTAAAGCTTTTGGGCAGGATTCACCTAACAAGTCCTATTAGTGGAAGCCCTGTGCAAAGATTTCCAATAAGGTTTTCCCTCCTCTATTCCCCCGCATGCCCCCAAAATTGGTTTGTGAGGTCAGAATAATCCGCAGACTAGTGTATAGTGGGGGGAGAGAGGAATAATTCTGTCAGGCAAGCTGAAACACTTGCACTGATGGAACAATTTCCTTAGCATGACATTGAATTCCTCCCATTGTTTGATCACAGTGCACTCCCTACTATTTCACAAAAATTTCTTGTTGATGCTGCTTTGGTCTGAAGGCACTTCCTGCAGAAAGCAGCAGATTTCTTGAAAAATCATAACTGTTTAACAGTTTATACACTGTGTCTTTTCCCCTATTCCACAGTGTGTGCACCGAGACCTGGCTGCAAGGAATGTGTTGATCTGCGAGGGGAAACTGGTGAAGATCTGTGACTTTGGTCTAGCTAGAGACATAATGCGGGATTCAAATTACATCTCCAAAGGCAATGTGAGTGACTTGATTACATGGACTCTGAGTGTCCCTTTGAACTTCCACGAGTCTTGTCTTGTGTAAGGGCCATATGACAGATGTCTCCAACTTCTGACGGAGATTTACAAAAATGGTTCCTGACCTCTTTACAGAGCATCTGCAGGCTATTTTCTGAGAAATGGATCTCCAAGTTATATATGGCCCATGAATTATTTTCATGCTCCAAAGAAGAATTTCACCTTCTTTGTGATTCACTGTCTCCATCTCTCCATCTCATTCAGCTCCTCCAGCTTTTGTTTTAAAACCTCCTTCAGTCCCCCTGAGAACTTGCTTCTGCTTCCCTAGATGATCATGCTTCAGTTTCCTGAATACTGACTTAGTCATTGGCTATGAGTAAGTCCTCTAGTCCAGAGCTCCCATGGTTACTATGTCTCTTATAACTTAACCTCCAACTTTAACGCAATCTCTAGAACTTCACTGGACCTACTGAGCAGCCCCATCTCCCTCATTTGTCAGTGCATGATGAACAGACAACAGTGCTGCAAACCACTCGTCTCTTATAGCTGCTGAGCCTCCTAAGTGTATGAAGCAAAAGCAACCAGAGCTTCCCACCTTTCTGCAATTTCCAAGCATTCAAATATTTCAGGAAGCCCTGAACCCTCCTAGGACACTTCTTTCACACCAAAAATTCTGATATTGACTTCACGGGAAAAGAATAGCTGATGCTAAGACCGCAGAAGTCATCAGTTGTAAGGAACCTGGTCTTTAATGATCTTATCTACATTCACAAGGAACCCCAGCTAAACATGGTTCCTTCTGACCCCAGTAGTCTGCATACCCCTTATTTATCCCCATTTGGTTTTAAGGACGTAAGAAGAGGCTGCTGGATCAGGCCAATGGGCCATCCAGGCCAGCATCTCATTCTCACAGTGGCCAACCAGTGGGAAACCTGAGCACAAGAGCACTCTCCTCAACTCCTGGTTCTAAATGCAAGGCTGTGGATGCACCCCCTCTAGCTTTGGGTTCTTCTCCTTTCCTCTCACATCTTTGCCTTCCATCTTCTCCTCTATACTACATTGACTGGCATGTCTCAGCTCTGGGCCTCTAACCTTCTCACAGCACAAGGCCCACATCCATTTCTTGATTCTGCACCAAAGCCCTTCATGACCTGTGTTCAACAATGGATTGCTTCACAATGGTTTATGCATTCCCTTTTAATTCCATGAGTCATCTTACTAGATACTAGGCAACAAAACTCCTTGCATCCTAACTGATCCATGCTAGCCTTACCAATTTTGGTTTCCCAAATTTCTGGGAATCTGGACAATGAGGCTTCTCAGCACAGACGGCTATGGTGGATGGGGCATGGAAAGAGTATTCTTCAAGAACTTTCTAGAAGCTCCAGTCTGCAGTCTGTGCTGGCACATTCCTATATGTGGGACTATCCCAAATATCCACTGAAACAACCATTGCAGTTACATATGGGCACCTATGCCTTTTTCTCCTTTACATGGCAGCCACTGAGACATTTGGCTCCTGCTGTCATTGGATAGCATCTTGTTCTAATAAAAAAATACCCATATACACAAGGCTCAAAGCACTCTGCAGTCATCCTCAAGAGCCACATATCTGATTTTTTGTCTTGAGCTGATTGTGCGAATGCACAGGCTGAGGTTTTCAGAGGCTTAAATAATCTAACCACTGTGAGTCACCTTGCACATCTCAGAATCTCCCTTACGCGACCCTTCTCTTAGATGAACAGGGAAATGAAACCGTGGTCCTTCGCAATCCTTCCTGGAGATTATTTTTGATGCTGGTTGCACAAATAAGCCCACTAAGAGTTCAGGGAATTGTAATAGGAAAGCAGCACGCAAGCTGCTAGAGAGAAAACCAGAAGCAGGCTAGTTTCGTATGTCACAAATAAGTATGGTCTGGAAACTGTGGAGACAAGTACAGGAAATGAGGGTAGCAAGAATTGTATGTCTGTCCCTTTTGTCAGAGCCTCTTAATGTTCATCACGTTCATTCTTTTCAATCAAGCACACTGCCTAACCTGACTGTTCCTGCCCACACTGGGCGTGTTTCTAAGCATTTAGCTCTGACTACTGGAAACTCACTAACGCCCTTCACACATTATATTTGTGAAGAGGACTTGCCATGTTGAAGGGGATTTTGTGTGCTAGCTACAGGTCCTGTCCTTGGTGTTTCACTGCTCTCTGGTGTCATCTCGCCGCCCCCCCCCCCCACTGCCCCAATGCTTATGCATTGAACATGGATGTCTGAGCAGGGGAAGCCTACACACACAGATTTCTATGCAGGGAAGTCTATGTGCATAAAATTCTCCATGCATATATTTTCCCTGGACTATACCATAATCCTAAATAGAATACCTGGTGGCTTTTCCCATGCTACAGACTAGGTTTCATTAAAAGTCACATGGAAGGCCCTCACTGTTAGCAAACAGATGAAAATTCATTGAAGATCACTGCATTTCTGCTGTGTCTTTTGGTTATAGACCTTCTTGCCATTGAAATGGATGGCACCTGAGAGCATCTTCAACAACCTCTACACTACCTTGAGTGATGTGTGGTCTTTTGGAATCCTCCTCTGGGAAATATTCACTCTGGGTAAGCAACTGGTCAGTGTCACCCAGACTCTGTTTGACCCATCCCACTTACTGGATTTCCTGTGTACGGAATGAAAACAATGTTTCTCACTCTCTTTAATCTACATATGCTTCATATACTATACTATAAGTACCTTCACACAAGCCCAGAATCATTCATCTTTCAAGATAAGGACTAAACTATGCATGATGTCCGCTTACCCTCTTTTAGGGATGCAGCAGCTTTGCAGGACGGCCAGCGCCTCCCCTCATCCCCCTACAATGCAGGACTGGGCCTCGGGGTCTGGCAGTGCGGTCCTCAGAGGGGCCACCAAACATTAGCCTTTTGCCATTACCATTGCTGTACTGGTAGTAAGAAAGAGACTAGTATGAGGTGGTGCTGGCATCGTCATGCAGTATACGGAAGTTTCCCCACTAACTGGTTTTGCTTGACCTCCTTTTTTATCCCTAGGTGGGACTCCATATCCTGAACTGCCCATGAATGAGCAATTCTACAATGCTATCAAACGCGGCTATCGTATGTCCAAGCCTACACATGCTTCTGATGAAATGTAAGTGTTAACAGCGTATGTTTGCATATGTTTGTTTATACTGAGAGAAAGAAAGTCCCTTCCTCTCTCTCAGTATAAAAAAGGTAAAGGGACCCCTGACCGTTAGGTCCAGTCATGGACAACTCTGGGGTTGTGGCGCTCATCTCGCCTAACTAAGCTGCTTCTGGTGAGCCAGAGCAGTGCATGGAAACGCTGTTTACCTTCCCATGGAGCGGTACCTATTTATCTACTTGCACTGCATGCTTTCAAACTGCTAGGTTGGCAGGAGCAGGGACTGAGCAACCGGAGCTCACCCTGTTGCAGGGATTCGAACCGCCAACCTTCTGATCGGCAAGCCAGTATAGCACTTCCCAAATTATTATTATTTGCTTTTTGTGTTTCTCCAGCTATGAAATCATGCAGAAATGCTGGGATGAGAAATTTGAGATCCGACCTTCTTTCTCTCAACTGGTGGTACTCGTGGGGAACCTGCTGGCAGACAGCTATAAGAAGGTAGAGTTGGGTGGGGCTGAGAGGATAAAAATGATAGGAGGAGAGCACAGGAAACAGCCTCATTTCTAAACTAGTCCATGACTGTTGACATCAGCGTGAAACAGATTGTGTAAAAGATTGGGAGTAAATCTGATTACAGAGGGAAAGTGGTGGGAAAAGTGGGCTGTCTAACATTATAATATTTTCTAGTATGATTCTGATTTCTTCGTTTCCATTTTCAGTTCCAGATCTGGAGCTAGCCTTTTTCACAGACTTGTGCTCTTAAGAAACTGTAGATTCATTAGGGCTGTCCTTATATTTAGAATCAATAAAAAATCAGCATTGCCTTTATCTTATGTAATAGCCTTGTCCTTGTGTGAAAATGCCATGTGCTGAAACATTACATGTGGTATTCATGCACTCACAAGCACTTTCTATCCTATTTGCCTTATATGAGAGCAGAAGTACCAACAAGTCAATGAAGAGTTCTTGAAAAGCGACCACCCTGCTATTGTCCGCACAAGGCCCTGGAACTCAGGGCTCAACAATTCCAGGTCCACTGCCATCAATTCCAGTGCCACCTCAGGCACTGTCCTTTATACAGCTGTTGAACAAAATGAATTGGACAATGATTACATCATTCCTTTGCCGGACCTTAAACCAGAGGGAGCCAATGAAAACCCGCAGGAGGCCTCCAGCAGTCGGGCAAGGTTAGAATCTTAATCTTTCTTCCACTGTGACATTATTCACTCCCAGACCTCCATTATCTCTGTTCTACCAATTGGTTACCTGGCAGGTGAAGTAGATTAAACTGTTTTTATACTCAGTAGCCAGTATGGAAGCTGAGTGGATTAGTCTTGGCTCTGTGTGCCTTGAAGTGGTGGTTCCCAAAGGTTTTTCTCATCTATTGCTCTTCCCGTTGAAGTATCCTGAAATATCAGGGCGCCTGGAACACTCTGAAGTGGTGGTTGCCAAAGAACCAAATGATTATGAAGTACAAATGGAGAAAATAATCTTAGGTAGAATGACTGAAGATTTTGAAACCCATATTTTGAAGGAGCTTTCAGTCACTGAATGGCCCCCATATATTTACTCCATTTTGGAGATGGGGAACCTGGTTGTCCAAAGCTTCTTATGGAATTTTCTTTAAGAAGAAGAACAACAACTGGTTTCAGAAATCAGAATGGCAGCCCACATGGCACCCAGCTAAGGCTTTCGTAATGTATTTACTCCCGATTAAAGCTGAAATTTGATTCTTTCTCTTTCTCTTCTTTGCTCTTTCCACCATTAGCTCTTCACTGAATGAAGCACACACATCGTCTACTATATCCTGCGACAGCCCTCTAGCCCCACAGGAAGAAGAAGAAAAAGAAGAGGAAGAAGAAGAAAAAGCACCAGAACTAAAGCCAGACTGCTAGGATTGTTAGAGAGGTGTGTGTGAGAGAGCATGTGTGTGTGCATGCATGGTGGTGCCGGGGAGTTCTGGTCACAAATTGGTGCTTCCCTCTCCTTCAGCCCTACTGCAATATGCCATTATCTTCCATTCTCTTCAGCCCACAGCAGAACCCAGAAACTGTAACACTGAAGAGACTTTCTGCAGCCAGGATTGAGTAGAAGTTTATATGGCTCCTCACGCTTCATAACTGAGACTATTTTTGTTCCATTGCCTAATGCAGAATTCATTCGCCATTCGTACTTGTCTCTGCTAACCAAGACCATCATGATGAGAAATGTCACTCTTTGCTTGACAGCCTCACTACCTTATTGCTGGAGCAGAATGAACCTTCATATACGACTAATCTCTTCACAATAAGGCATGTTCCCCTTGTATCAAGCCAGAGAAAAACCTCCAGTGGTCTCTTGAGGAGTGCCTTATTCTAATTGTTTCACTTTCTATTTTTTCAAGCTGATTTTTGAGGCCAGCAACTGTTCAATGAATTCTCTAATCAATGGATTATTAAATTACACCTTTTAAAATTTATCATGAAAGTGTGGATGGGGTATGAATGTATGTATGTATGGACAGTTTTTTTGTTTTTGCTTTGCTAGCGAAGGAGACACCGAGAAGTGATCTGCCCACAGTTTTATCCAATTTACAGACATTGCATGGATTCTCTGTCCAGGGCAGAATTATGATGATGACCAACAGAAGAGCAATATCAGGCATTTCACTCGGGTTGTGCTCTTCATTGCCTGGGTTCTCCACTGCTTTTGCTGAGTAGTTCCAGGATCACGAGAATGATGGTACAGATACAGGTACCGTGGATTACAGGTACTAATAGATCTCAAGGATCAGAGATTGTCTAGACTAGACCTAAAGCCACAACTTTATCGCCCAAGGACATACTGAGCAAATGGAGACCATCAACTAATGACTCAGCTGTGGCAACAGCAGGACAGTCCACGGCTACATTTCTCTGCATTCTGTCTTTTTATCATACTTCTCATTTTAAAAGGAACAAGTGGGTCTTTCTGAGGCCAGTAGGAGGATGCTAGTGTACCTTGCGAGGAAAGGCAAACTGCACTATATTTGTTTTACCTTGGAGGTTGATTGATAGCCGTTGTCATTGGTCTGTCCCATTCTGCCTCTAAGGGGAAAGCATTGTTGGCAGGTTCTTTCAGGAAAAATGCAGGTTGTGCATATGGCAGCCTTCGCCAACCTGATGCCCTCCAAATGTTTTGGACTACAACTCTGTTGCACCTGAAGGGGCAGTGGTTCTTTTTGGATTCAGAACACAATGGGGTGAAGGCTGAAGATTTTATTAAACAGCTCAAAGAAAACCACAAAGCATTGCCATTTTCATACATCCATGATGCTGTTGGAGAGCCCCTCAACAGACAATGGGCATGACTCCTGCTTCTGGAGCTTAGCCAGTATACAGCACTTTCCAGGTAGCCTAGTATAGCGGTTCTGACTAACAAACATGCTCTCGGGGGTATATACACACAGCTAGAATTTAGGTGATACATCAGTTTCCCACCAGAGCAAAAGACTAATACTTGGCAGGACGTCAACATAGATCACTTCCAGAGCTAGCTAATGCTCCCCATAGCAGGTGTCAGGATGATATCCCTGTGAAAGCTTATCTAGAAGGTCATGTTTCCCACACAGTGCTGTCTCAGCATGATGAACTGTGAGAAACTACTAGTTTGTGGAATAAACATAAGTAACCACCTAAAGGCCCAGACCCACAGGATTTTTAAATATTATCTGGGCATGAGAGGGGCAATTGCTGGGCACCCCCCAAATCTCCTTGAGATAATAATTGTCTTCTGCAGTGTGGCAATAGAAACTCCCATCAGCCGCAGTTAGCATATGCTGGCTGGAGCTGATGGAAGTTAGTCCAAAACAAGTGGAGGCAACCAGGTCGCCAAAGCCTACCATATGGCATAGCCTGCATCTCATATCAGACTTATATAGAGAACCTTTACTTTTCTTGTTTTAAGCACAAAGCATTGGGAGATGATGAGGATGGGCAGAGGAGATTCTACTCCAAAGATGAGCAGTAGATGGTAGGTGAGGTTCTCAATATATTCTATTTAAGAGAATCCTGAAAAATTCCTGCCAGTGTGCCTCAGAGCTAATCTACATTTTAGACAGAATGAGCTAGCAGAGTTCTTTCCCATGCTACTTCAAATTACAGGTTGGGGGCAGCACACTTTGAATATTCTCCCTTGTAAAAAAGAAAATCACTATGTATAGCACAGCAGAGCTGTGTAGCCTTCTCTTTGGAGTGCTGGCCTATTACATGCAAAGAGCTTCAAAAATATGGTTTCTCACTGTGGTCAGGAACTGTCAAATTTGGTTCTCATTCGTCATAATCTGTAGATCAACTCCAAACTTGCCTCAGCCAGAAATGCCCCAGTTGGAAAACTGCTTTATCTCGAAGCCTTCCTTAACAGAAGCAATTCCTGGCAGAATTGACTCTAATGTCTCCTCCAATTCACTAAATATGCATTCTGGTTGGTGTTAACAAAATGTTGTTTATTTTGTTTTGTACCATATCTTTCACTGCCTTCCATAGATATAGATGGAGGAGGGGGTGTTGAGTCAAGTTAGGGATTTTTCAGAAAGAAAGAAAGAAAGAAAGAAAGAAAGAAAGAAAGAAAGAAAGAAAGAAAGATGGCTTTTCAGTACATTTACTATAATGGTGACTTTTTAAAAAGGCATTAGTACCTACCACTACCCCACTCCCAATGTTGTATTTGCTAATTTTCTGTCCATTTTCTTGTTATACATTTAGATTTAAGTACTAGTAATAGAAGCAGGGGGTGTTTTCAAAAGAATGTGCCACTTAAAAGGATTAGTGTTATGGCAGCGAGAAAGTATATTCCATAAATCATGGGCAGTGCCAGGTTTATCTCTTTCCAACTGAAAGATACATCCTTTTCTATCAATCTTTGAATTACACTCGTAGAAATGACGTATTGGTATTCTACTTTAGGACACTAATATGATGGAAATATCTCTGGGTGGGGATGGGTAAGACCACTACGGCGTAGCTTCTTTTTAAGTGCTATGTAGTATAGTAACTACACCATGTTCATATATTACCATAGCATGGACAATGTTTTATCCCAGCTGGCTTAAACAGTATTAACCCAATGGGCTTAGTACTTTTCCATGGTCAGAGACTTGTAGCCCAGTGGCAACAGCACACGATGCTTTCCATGCAGACGGTCTCTCTGGCATTGGCCAAGACATTTACTGAGATCCCGGAGAGCTATTGCCAGTCAATTTAGTCTGCCCTGGTGTCAGGCACCTTCCTATGCTCTGTGATGGGATTTTGGTGTGACCTGAAATACAAGCCAGCATTTTAAAGAGTCACAGTAGCCATATATAACTATAGCTCAGTGGGCTGTAGTTGTAACTGGGCAGATATGTTCTGCTACACCTAAGGTTCCTTGACAAGGATGAACAACCTGATTTGCCTCCTGCTCCACTATGCTGAATCATTTTCCAGTTTCGCATCTTGGTGAGGTGGTGGTTTAACAGTGTTGCTGCAAGCGAAAATGACTCCAGCCGAGGCCAGCGGAGCAGCCAAATGACACTGCCAAATGCCAAGGTACCTGGGTTGAAACAGTGCCAGTGGATGTTCTCATAGCTTGTATAGCAAGGACACAAAAGAATTGAAATTGAGGATTAGGTGTCACTTTTTTCACAGAGCCAAAGTCCTCGCCAACAAAAAACAGATAGTAAATCTGAAGTCACTGGGCATTTCCATTCCACTGTTTCAGACTGCTGGGTACCATATTTTCCCCCCAAACACTGCAATTCATTTATACCTGCTGGGCCCCAGTCGCCAGGTGGCACCAGCTGCAATGGGTTCTAGGAAATAAAACTTTCACACTAATTAAGACATCTGAGGTTTGTGGATTAGATCCCTGACATTGGCAAGACTAGAGTGAGGGGCAGGAGGAGGTACTTAACCAAAGAACTCTTCTGTTTCCACAACTTTTATGGCCATGGTTTGGCCTATGAGTCTCCCTCCTCCAGGGGTCCATTGCTGTTTTGTATTTTTGCATTACTGTCATTTGGGTTTGCTTGGCTTTATTTTATATTTTTAGAATATTGGCTAATCAAATCCCTGACTGAAACATGCTATATTTTAGAAATGCCTCAAATCCATTTTTGCAATCTTGGTCTCATATCTAGTCTAGCATATTAGTATAGTCTCTGTAATATTTTAATCTACAGCTGTTTCACTGTTATCAGTTCAAATATAAGCACCTTTCTCCAACCACCCACTACTGTTATGTAGCCAGAATGTACCAGAGGAATATTGTCACATTACAAAATTATGTTTATATATATATATTTTCTGCGCTTTGAAATGCTTATGAGATTTGATATGTATACAGTTTTTTTGTCTCTGCCTTTCCATTTCTGTTTGACTGTGTTGTTTGTATTAAGTGAGGGATGTAGAGAATGGCAGAGTTTTACTTTCTGTTGCTGTTGTGTGATCCATATTATGGTGGACTTTAGTTGCCTTTAGTATGGTGGACAATGAGTTGCCTTGTCTACTTTTCCAAGGGTCAACATGTCCTTCGTAGATCGAAAGACAGGATATAGAAGTGCAATTAAACAATGTTATTGAAGTTGGCCAATATTGGCATTTAAGCTCCCTTCTTCATAGTCTCACCAGCTTTCTGAAATAAGCAGACCATTCAAAAACAGTTTGGAAACCAGTAAACACTAAATTGAGGACTGGAGAATCAAACCAGTTCCATTTGATTTGTAAAGCATTGCACATGTTCCAAGCAAAAGGGAATCCTTTCTCAGATTACTTTCTTTCCAGACACTCATAATGCAAATCTTATTGACAATTATTATAGGCAGTTATTATATGGTCAGTATTAAGATAATCTGAACACCTCTGAAAAGGTCAGTTCCATGTTATGTTCTTCTATTAATTTAAAGAATCTGAGACAAAATGGCCAAGATTGCCACTGATTCTGATGAATCAGATAGAAGAACTTTGCCATTTGTGTGTATCATACTTGGATTTAATAATCTTTTGACATCTACAAAAACGTCCACTTTATTCTTGTTTTGTTACATGTATCTTAAAGTAACGAATAGGCGGAAAATAACATTAGAAATGAATCACAACATATCTCTTCCTCTTCATCCATCAAATTTCCTCTTTGTGGAGGAAGTTGTTCCACTTTCCAGGCACCTTTTTGGCATTCCCAATCCTTGTCTCTGGGCAGAGCCATAGAGACTCTTTCTTATAGCAACTGATAGCAGTCTCTGAATGGGAAGCAAAATCCATTTTTTGTCTTTCTAATCCTTTGTACACCATCATGGGAGTGAAAGACAGAAAGGTGTCTTGAACTAAGGTACCAAAGATTTAATGTTATCCTAGGTTTACAAATGTATGTTAAGACTCTTATTAAGCCACATTTATACCAGTGAGATATTATTTTTTATGCTGTAAACTTGTCATATGTGTTTTCTAAAAAGATTTTTAAAATTAAAAGAGCTTCTTTTTAAAAACCCTGGGGCTTCTCTGTGATCTTACTACAGCCTACATTTCTTAGAAAACATGGGGGGTTGAGGAGGTTTCTCCTGAATTTCTTAGCAAATGAATTAACAGCATTGAGAGGAAGAATGTTAATATGCTTAGGTGCCACAAGACTCTTTGTTGAACATGGTTAATATAACTCCAGGGCTTAGAGAGAGCTTATCTGCAGTACCAAGGAGAGAGTGTACGTGACAGAGAGAGAGAGAGAGAAAGAAAGAAAGAAGACTTATATAGCAAAAATGATATGCCAATGGAGACGGAGTCTGTGAGCAGATGAAGACTCAGTGGGCTGTATGAAAAAAAGGTAAGTGGAAAGAAGAGCTTACAGGTGCTGTCCAGGCGTGTAAGAAGGCATACAAGCAGGTCTGCCAACAGCATAGACCTGGTCTGTTGTTTGTATGCACCTCTGAGAGGTGTGAGCCAAGACTTTGAGGGCTCCTCCAATATCTGGAATATCCTACCAATTAATTCGGGACACAGGTGGCGCTGTGGGTTAAACCACAGAGCCTAGGGCTTGCCGATCAGAAGGCCGGCGGTTCGAATCCCCGTGACGGGGTGAGCTCCCGTTGCTCGGTCCCTGCTCCTGCCAACCTAGCAGTTCAAAAGCACGTCAAAGTGCAAGTAGATAAATAGGTACCGCTCCAGCAGGAAGGTAAACGGTGTTTCCATGCTCTGCTCTGGTTCGCCAGAAGAGGCTTACTCATGCTGGCCACATGACCCGGAAGCTGTACGCCGGCTCCCTTGGCCAATAAAGCGAGATGAGCGCCGCAACCCCAGAGTCGGTCATGACTGGACCTAATGGTCAGGGGTCCCTTTACCTTTACCTTACCAATTAATTTACCAGGACCTATCTTACCTGTAGCAGGGCATTCAGTGAAAATGCTTCACCTGAGAGAGCATACAAGCCTTGCCCTAGCATAAATCAACACTGGAGGCTAGCCTAAAAATGTTTCTTCCATCCAATGTCTCTGAACTTTGAGAGCTCTTCTCCACTTCCATGGGGGAAACTAAATGCAAAATGTGTGTTCATCATCAGGGATGATTATCATATACATTCATTTGTTTGCAGCTTCCCAGAGCATGTGAACAGCATACAGATTCTGCAAAATACACTTATGTAAGCTATTTCCTATATGGAAGTGTCATCTGTGCAGAGAATGTTCATGTTTAAATTGCCCTTAAGCTGCACATTCTTCTCCAGCTCAGGAAATGTGAGATGTGTAATACCAAGCTTCTATTTTACATCAAAGGTTAAGGCTCATGGTGCTGCCCTAGGGTGGTCAGGCAAGGTGAGAACCTTGCTAGGTCTGGATCCAGCCAGTCCTTGAATGGAGCATGAGAATTCCATGTATGCCACTTTGAGTTCCATGAAGAAAGAAAAGGGGTGGTGTTATAAATTGCATTAAATAAATACGGTAATCGCCCCACCTGTCCTGGGGAAAGGAGGGGCTGTTGCTTTTTGCATGTATTCGTTTAAATTCTACGCAGTCAACTAAGTGTGTGGCTCACCTACAAATGCAACCCAGACACAAGGCAATAACCAAAAGTAACCCAGAACAAGGAGATTGATCTTTAACAGGGGACACAAGGGACTCAGCTACATTGGCAAAGAAAAAGTGCTTTATATGCATTGTACTGTATATGCATTATAACACTGTGACACCAGATGGCGCTGTGGAGTTCCGTTTTTGCCAACCCGATTTCTCATACAAAGTTTACATCATGTTTAACTGAAACGCTTCTTTGAAGTGTCTAGATCCAGCCAAGGACAGCTGCAGAAAGCATCGCTTGGTCTGCGGGCATCTCGTTCCTGGTCTAAATGATTATTTGTTGCCCACAATTCCCCCCCCCCCCCAATTTGCAAGACCATCTGTATGCATGTCCTGGTTGGAGCGCTCTCACATTTCCTGTGCCATGTTTCAGCTACTGCAGATTATCCGATGCAACAGCTGGTTCAGCATTTTGTTCAACACTTAAATTCCCTCTTCCTCTCTTGTATTACTAATTTAGTAAAATCATTCCCTCTTGTAAAACAGCTGTTTTAATGCATCTTCATGGAGGTCTGCTAGCAACCTGGGTGCAGGTGACTAATGAGATGGTTTTCTGAAAAGAGGAGGTAAAATGAGCATCCTTGGCACATCTAGTTAGCTGAAACTCTCAAAACTCATTGCCTTTAAAATCAATTTGATGCTGTGGCTACAGCATGCTGTGTTTTTGTCCTCCTTCCTGCTTGTGTCAGCTAGTAAACTGCATTAGCCGATAGACGATTATTCATGTGCATGTGTAAAATGAGCCCGCTTTCAGACTCTGAAATGTACCATAAAGGTGCAGCTTCAGTCCCAAAGCTAGAAGACATCCCAGTCCAAGCTTCCTGTGGCTGATTTCCCTGAATACAGATGAACTGCTACAAAGCTGAGGAGAACAGCTTGATGGCTTTTTCATTGGAGAAGGCATGATTCATAGGGGGAGGCTGAGATGTTGTCAAGACTGGCTGCTCTGTCCACTGACAGTCATTAATAGTTGAGTCAACAAAGAAGGAAAAATAATCACCCTTACCCCGTCAAAAAATATTGCATATATACAAACCCTTTTTATGTTAAGCCTTTGGGGAAAGAAAAGAACTCAACAAACTTCAGTGTCTGTGGGGAAAATCATAGACATCCATGAAATGTAAGCAGACATGAAGTTACCTGAGCATTAGGGCTGTCCAAACAAAAATTACCTCAGAACCAGTGTCAGATTTATGCACAAGCTAAGTAAGCTACAGCTTAGGGGCTCCATTTACGAAGGGCCTCCAATTATTTTTACTAAATTTCTATGAGTTTGCTCTCAAAAATGTCACCAAACAGTTTTAAATTATCACCGCTTCCATTTAGTAAATGCAAACTGCATGTGTGTGTAACTGCTCCTGTGTTGCTGAACATTAAAAGTTCTTACATATGTCAAGCAAGAAATTGTAAGCTGTTTTCCATTAAAGATATTTCAAAGGCAAATAGGCTTATTGCAAGATATATATGTTTTTAGTTGCAACCTTGCCTATATATGCAAATATAAAAGTTTATAATTTCTGCTGGAATAACACACACTTTCTGGGTCATGTTATGGGGCCTGTTCCACCTGACACAGCTTGTCTTAATTGGACCTTGATCAGAACCCACCTGGTTGGCTTGAATAATAAACCAGAAGCTGCTTGGAGGCTGACACTGCAGGCAAGTTCTTTTTCCTCAACCCAAATAAGAAGCATCCCCTTCCGATGGAAATGAGGGTCATTTTCAGTTGGCAGATTCCCCCCTGGAGCAAACTGTTCATATTAAACTGGGATTTGCACCTTGTCACAAACATTCACATCAGATTTGGACCTCATCCAAGGCTTTGATGGAGCCTTACTGGGTATGCTGGCATCTTATATTCAATAATTTTCATTACTTTTGTTAAGGATTTAGGTTTACATCTTGTTTGTGAGGAAGTATGCTTGCCTTTGCTTTTCATACTCAGGACCCACAGGCATCTTGGTTGGCCACTAGCGAGAAGAGGAGGCTGAACTAGCTGAGCCTTTGGCCTGATCCAGCAGGATTCTTCTTATGTTCTGAATGGGAGTAAGTTCTGAAATGTTCCATCACCTATTATTAGGTGCCTCTTCAGTTTCATCATTTGGCTTGCAGCTGCCTTTTGCTTCTATTTCCATGCAATTAAAAGCAAAGTTTTGAGTGGAATTCCTTCAGGTTACCTGGTACTCATCAGGCTCCCCATGGGAAAGGTTTGTTTGCCCGACCTTAAAGCATATCTTTAGTTTCAGAACACCATGAGTGCACCAGAATTCAAGTGCAGCAGATTCACTTAACCCCCAAGGCACTCTCTTACATCATACCCTCCAATATTTCTCTGATGAAAATAGGGATATCCCATTCCATAATGATAATTTTACTATTTATAGCCCACACATCTTACTGGGTTGATCCAGCCACTCTGGGGAGCTTCCAACATATATAAAAACATAATAAAACATTAAACATTAAAAAAAAAACCTTCCCTATACAGGATTGCCTTCAAACGGCTTGGGGGGTCAGATAACGCCATACCCTCCAACATTTCTAATGAAAATAGGGACATCCTAAGGAAAAGTAGGACATTCCAGGATCAAATCAGAAACCAGGACGGCTTCTCTAAATCAGGGACGTCCCTGGAAAATAGGGACATTTGGAGGGTCTGCGACATTGTCTCCCAAGACAGACAGATGAAAACAGTTAAATGTATGTGACCACATTCTGTGACCACATTCTAAGTAATTATTTCCAGTTATTGAAGTGCTCGATGCTGACACTGTCCTCATAAACTAAATGTAACCCCAGACCCTTTAACGAAAGTAACATATGAACTGATAATGTCAGTTTTTAGACCTAACAATTGTCTGGCATTCATCTGTGGATAGAAACGATTGACATACCACTTACAGATAGTTTCCCCTCTGGGCAAGCAATTTAATATTTGTTCCTTCAAAGCGAGTCAGTTCCTTTTGAGTTGGCATTTGTTCCTGGAAAAATGGATAAATAAGGAAATAAACGTCTTAAAAAAACCAAAACCCTTCCGTTAAAAATATGCGTTGGTCAAGATTTTTGAGCAGTGGCATTACCAGCCAGGATGGTATCCTTAACTCGATGCTCAAAGAATCTAGTAGTAAAACAAATATTTGTGTTACTGTTCTCACAAATCACTCATTGTTTCCTGCAGTTCTGGTGCACAAATCATAGAGTTGGAAGGGACCCAGGGGTCATCTAGTCTGACCCCCTGCAATGCAGGAATCTCAGCTAAAGCTTCCATGACAGATGGCCATCCAACCTCTGCTTAAAAACTTGCAAGAAAGGAGAGACCACCACCTCCTGTGGGAGTCTATTCCACTGCTGAACAGCTCTTACTGTCAGAAAGTTTTTCCTGATGTTTAGTTGGAATCTCCTTTTTTGTAACTTGAAGCCAT